ACTCGTGTTCAGCAAGACGAGGGCGACACGATTGCCACCTCATAGGCAGGGAGATTGTGCGATAAACCTCCAGACAGGTGCGGCACTTCCGCGGAGCCATGTGTATCCTCTGTCTCAAGAGGAGACGGCGGCTATGGAGACATACATAGCTGAGTCTCTGAAACAGGGATACATACGGCCCTCCACTTCCCCTGCGTCCTCGAGTTTCTTTTTTGTGAAGAAGAAAGATGGAGGTTTGCGCCCGTGTATTGATTATCGTAGTCTCAATCAGATCACTGTGAAATACAGTTACCCTCTTCCTCTGATTGCGAGTATGACTGAATCATTACGCGGGGCGCGGTTCTTCACAAAACTGGATCTCAGGAGCGCTTATAACTTGGTGCGCATTAGGGAGGAGGATGAATGGAAGACAGCATTTAGTACCACCTCAGGTCATTATGAGTATCTTGTCATGCCATACGGGTTAATGAATGCTCCTTCAGTCTTCCAATCATTTGTGGACGAGATCTTCCGGGACCTGCATGGGCAGGGAGTGGTAGTGTACATTGACGACATCTTAGTGTACTCTGCTACACGTGCCGAGCATGTAGCCCTGGTACGCCGAGTGTTGGGTAGACTGTTGGAGCATGACTTGTATGTCAAGGCAGAGAAATGTCTGTTTTTCCAGGAGTCCATCTCCTTCTTGGGTCATCGGTTGTCCACGTCAGGGGTGAAGATGGAGATTGACCGTGTGTCAGCCGTGCGTAACTGGCAAACCCCAACCACTGTGAAAGAGGGGCAGCAGTTTTTGGGTTTTGCCAATTACTACCGGAGGTTTATCCGGGATTTTGGACAGGTAGCAGCTCCCATTACTTCCCTGCTGAAGGGGGGCCCGGTGCGTTTGCAGTGGTCAGCTGAGGCGGACATGGCATTTTGTAAACTGAAAGACCTGTTCACCTCAGCTCCGGTGCTGGCGCACCCGGACCCCGCTTTAGCGTTCCAGGTAGAGGTGGATATGTCAGAGGCCAGTATTGGGGCAGTATTGTCGCAACGCTCAGGCACGCCACCTAAGCTCCGTCCCTGCGCTTTTTATTCTAAGAAGCTCAGCCCGGCGGAGCATAATTATGACGTAGGGGACAGGGAGCTGTTAGCCGTGGTTCAAGCCCTAAAGGTGTGGAGGCATTGGCTTGAGGGGGCTCAACACCCTTTTCTCATTCTGACCGACCATCGTAACCTGGAGTACATCCGGGCAGCTAGGAGATTAAACCCTCGTCAGGCTAGGTGGAACATGTTCCTGACCCGGTTCGTTTTTAAGATCACGTACATCCCAGGGTCCCAGAACGGTAAGGCAGATGCCCTGTCCTGGCGGTATGACACAGAGGAGAGGTCCATTGAGCCCACTCCCATACTGCCAGAGTCTTGTCTGGTGGCACCGGTGGTATGGGAGGTCAATGCGGAAATTGAGCGGGCGTTACGCACCGACCCTACTCCCCCAGAGTGTCCAGTGGGTCGGACGTACGTGCCGCTCGAGGTCCGTGATCGGCTCATTTATTGGGCTCATACGTCACCCTCCTCTGGACATCCAGGTATTGGCCGGACAGTGCACTGCCTTAGTGTTAAATACTGGTGGCCAACATTGGCTAAGGACTTGAGGGTTTATGTCTCCTGCTCGGTGTGCGCTCAGTGTAAGGCGCCTAGACACCTGCCCAGGGGGAAGTTACAACCCCTGCCCGTTCCACAACGGCCGTGGTCTCACCTCTCGGTGGACTTTGTCACGGACCTTCCCCCCTCCCAGGGGAATACCACTATTCTGGTCGTTGTGGATCGGTTCTCTAAGGCCTGTCATCTCATTCCTATGCCGGGTCTCCCTATTGCCCTACAGACCGCTGAGGCTTTGTTCACCCACATCTTCCGGCACTACGGGGTTCCCGAGGATATAGTGTCTGATCGGGGTCCCCAGTTCACCTCTAGAGTCTGGAGGGCGTTCATGGAACGCTTGGGGGTCTCGGTTAGCCTTACCTTGGGTTACCACCCGGAGAGTAATGGGCAGGTGGAGAGAGTAAACCAGGATGTGGGTAGGTTTCTGAGATCCTATTGCCAGGGCCGGCCGGAGGAGTGGTCGGGGTATATCCCCTGGGCAGAGATGGCTCAGAACTCTCTCCGCCACTCCTCTACTAACCTGACCCCTTTTCAGTGTGTGTTAGGTTATCAGCCGGTTCTCGCAGAAGGCGAGCGCCGACCTCCACCGCAGTGAGGGTCCAGTCTACGCCCCTGGAGATCGAGTCTGGCTCTCGACTCGAAACCTGCCCCTTCGCCTGCCCTGCCGGAAGCTTGGCCGGCGGTTTGTGGGGCCATTTAAAGTCCTGAGGAGATTGAATGAGGTGTGTTACAGGTTGCAACTGCCCAATGACTATCACATTAACCCCTCATTCCATGTGTCTCTCCTCAGGCCGGTGGTAGCTGGTCCACTCCAGGAGAGTGAGATAAGGGAGACCCCTCCGCCCCCACTGGACATCGAGGGGGCTCCGGCGTACTCAGTCCGGTCCATCGTGGATTCGAGACGTCGGATGGGGGGTCTACAATATCTCGTGGAGTGAGAGGGGTACGGTCCGGAGGAACGGTGCTGGGTGCCTCGGAGGGACATTTTAGATCCATCCCTCCTGACTGAGTTCCATCGTAGTCATCCTACGCGCCCTGCTCCACGTCCTCCTGGCCGTCCCCGAGGCCGGGGTCGGCGCACGGCTGGAGCCGCGCGTCAAGGGTGGGGTACTGTCACAAATTCCGCCGAGACTGCTCCTCCTCCTTGTTCGGGCAGGCTTCGGCGTTCGTCGTCCCCGGAGTACTAGCTGCTACCGTTTGATGTTCTCTATGTTTGTTTGGTGCACCTGTGTCTTATCACTTATTGATTATGTCACCTATAAGTTTCCTTTGGTTTTGTTTGTAGTTGTGTGTTGTTGTCCGCCTGTCCGTTGGGGTTTTGGATTTTGCTCTTGTGTATTTAAGTGTATTGACGCACTGTTTCCGCATCGCTTATATTTCGTGTTTTACGCACTGTTTGCGTATCGCTCGCCTCCGTTGCTTGAGGCCCGTTCTTTTGTATTGTCATATTTCTGACTAGTAAAGTCTGTTGGACTAAGCTTCTGTGTCCTGCGCCTGACTCCAACACCACATCCACTTCAAACACTGACATACGTTAAATAGCAAATGTGCCTACTCTGGTCTTCCATGTGTGCTCTAGCCAACAGCTCAAAGATACAGTACGGTAAACTGTGCTGGTAAACTTGTCTACATGATGAGATGATTATGGATAAGACTAAGAGCAAGAACATTTTTATTTGTCAAACGGCAGTCAAGCATCGTTCGTCATGTCACCAGAATAAGACCCTCAATAGTTATTGGAAAGCAGCATCAACATGATTACTGTAAGGGATCGGGGGTTGGCTGGGTCTAGACAGAGTCTGACACTTCCCCGATCTACAGAGAGGGGGAGTCATCAGACTCGATCTGGTTCACCTGAGTTCTGAGCACACCTGTCCGTAATTAGGGTAGGATATAAGGTGTGCTCAGAGGTTCAGTCAGTGCGAGGTATTGTTCCGTTGTGACTTGCTAAACGTTTTGTTCCGAGAGAGAGAGAGAGAGAGAGTTTGTTGTTTTGATTACCCGTGTATCCGACCTGTGCCTTGCTGTTTGACTCCCCGTATTGCTTAATCCTCTGCTTGTCTGCCCCAGTGATTACCGTTCTCTGATCCTGTGCCTGTGACCTCGACTACGACTAAGCCCGCTCCTTTGGTACCTCTGCCTGTATATGCCTGGCCCGGTTTTGACCACAGCCCGCCCGACCACGATTAAGCTATTCCCTTGTCTGTACTCTAATAAAGCATCGCTATTCTGCGATTGGATCTTACCACTCTGTCCGAGTATTCATTACAGAATACCTCGCCATTACCATGGATCCAGCGGAATTACAGAGGTGATGGGAGATACAGGAGAAACGCATGGATAAACTCCTACAGCTACTCAACGCTGGTGCAGCGGAAGGCACCACCCCGAGTACGGTCAGTCCTCGTCATGCACCTCCGATTTCTATACCGACAAGGTACGACGGGGAACCTGGCAAATGTCAGGGGTTTCTACTCCAGATGTCCCTGTATATGTCGTATAATAGTACTATTTTTTCCGATGACCGTAGCAGGGTGGATTTCATGATTTCTCTGCTAACGGGAAGAGCACTGGATTGGGCTACTGCGCTTTGGGCAGCTGAGGTCCCCGAGTTGAATGCGGAAGTTCAGTTCAAGAGACTGTTTCAAGAGGTGTTCGACCACCCAGTATCTGGGCGTAGTGTGGGAGACCAACTATGCGAACTTCAGCAGGGCCGTCGCACAGTAGCCGACTACGCTTTAGAGTTCCGTACTATAGCAGCCGGTAGCGGATGGAGCGAAACTGCTTTGCTCACAGTTTTCCGAAGAGGGCTGCGCAAAGACGTACAGACTGAGTTGGCTTGTCGAGGAGATATCACTGCGCTACATGAGTTTATCAAAATAGCCATCTCTATTGATAATCTTATAGTGCAACACAAGGCATCCACAGTCCGGGAGCCCTCGATCACTGGTGCTATGCAATCGACAGAGCGGAGGAGAGAATCTGAGGAGGAACCTATGCAACTGGGACGGTCACCTCTACCAGGTTCGGTGAGACAACAACGTCGGCAAGACGGACTATGCCTGTATTGTGGTCAGGCGGGTCATTTCGTTCGTCAATGTCCGGTACGACCTAACCGTACCCCAGGATATCGCCTCGGAACTGCCAAACCGGTGAGTGAGACTCCAGTGTTGAACATTACATCTAAACAAATGTATGTGCCTGTCACCTTATCTGTCGGAGAGAAAGTGCGCAGGTTGGAGGGACTTATTGATTCCGGAGCGGCTGCCAGCTTTCTGGATATGGGTCTTGCTGAGGAGTTGGGAGTTCAACTTATCCCAATTCAACCTCCCCTGAGAGTCAACGCGCTAGACGGTGAGCCCATGGGCACTGGGTTCATTACGCACCGTACCGGGGAAATCAAGTTACAAGTGGGCTCCCTGCACCATGAGACCATCATTCTGTTCGTCATCTCCTCCCCACGGGAGCCGCTAGTCCTTGGCCACCCCTGGCTCGTTACCCATGATCCGGTCATCTCCTGGAAATCTGGCGATATCACGGCTTGGAGTGAGGTATGTAGGGCTGAGTGCCTCATTTTACCTTGCAAAACGTCTACTGTGGAGGATACGAAGGGTGCGGTGTCTACTGTTGTTCCTACAGAGTACCTGGATTACGTGCAGGTGTTCTCCAAGGAGAGGGCTTCCGTGCTACCACCGCATCGGGCCTGGGATTGTGCTATTGATCTGCTATCCGGGGCTACCCCTCCTCGCGGACGAATCTACCCTTTGTCTCAGCCGGAACGGGAATCAATGAGCAAGTATATTGATGAGGCACTTCAGCAAGGGGCCATTCGCCCATCTACGTCTCCCGCCGCATCCAGTTTTTTCTTTGTTAAGAAAAAGGATGGCGGACTTCGTCCTTGCATAGACTATCGAGGTTTGAACGATATCACCATAAAAAATCGTTATCCCCTTCCTTTGATTCCAGCGGCCCTCGAGCAGGTGGGGCAAGCCTCCATCTACAGTAAACTGGACCTCAGGAGTGCGTACAATCTGGTGCGCATTAGAGAGGGGGATGAATGGAAGACCGCCTTCATCACCCATCGAGGACATTATGAATATTGTGTTATGCCCTATGGACTTACTAACGCGCCCTCTGTGTTCCAGGCGTTCATGAATGACATTTTTAGGGACTTGATTGATCGTTTCGTCATAGTGTACATTGATGACATCCTAATCTACTCTAACTCTCTGAGTGAACATGTGTCCCATGTACGACAGGTTCTGGACCGACTCCGCCAACACTCTCTGTTCGTGAAGGCCGAGAAGAGTGAATTCCATGTCACAACGATTTCCTTCCTTGGGGCCATACTCACTCCCGACGGGGTAAGACTGGATGAATCCAAGGTACAAGCTGTACGAGACTGGCCTCAACCCCAGACGGTGAAAGAGCTTCAGAGATTCTTGGGGTTTGCCAATTACTATAGACGGTTCGTGCGTAATTTCAGCACCACCGCAGCTCCCCTGTCGGCGATGACCAGCCACAAGGGGCGTGGTCTGAAATGGACGGAGGGGGCAGTGCGGGCCTTTGAGACATTGAAACAACGATTTACCACCGTTCCCATTTTGTGTCAGCCGGATCCTACGTTGCCGTTCATCGTGGAGGTGGACGCCTCGGAGGTTGGAGTTGGAGCCGTGCTATCCCAGCGCCAAGGTGAGCCGCCCAAATCACGACCCTGTGCTTTTTTTTCTAAGAAGCTGAATCCGGCCGAGCAGAACTACGACGTGGGAAATCGTGAATTGCTGGCGGTGAAGTTAGCACTGGAGGAGTGGAGACATTGGCTGGAGGGAGCAGCTCATCCGTTCCAAGTGCTCACGGACCACCGCAATCTGGAGTATCTTCACAGTGCTAAACGACTGAACTCCCGACAGGCAAGGTGGTCTTTGTTCTTCAACCGTTTCCAATTCACTGTCTCTTATATTCCCGGGTCCAAGAATTGTAAGGCGGACGCGCTTTCCCGACGGTTCGAGCGCGCTGACAGACCGGTTGAACCAGAACCTATCCTCCCCATGAGTTGCCGTGCTGGCCCTGTGAGGTGGGCTATCGATGACACGATTCAGGAGAGCCTACAAGCGGAACCAGCCCCTCCAGAAACCCCGGTGTCGAAGGTGTTTGTACCAGCTCCGCTTCGACCTCAACTGATGGAATGGTGCCACACGTCGCTAGGATCTGGTCATCCCGGAATCACTCGAACTACTCGACTCATCAGTCGAAAATACTGGTGGGATTCCCTCACAGATGACGTCCGAGACTACGTATTATCCTGCCCAGTTTGTGCTCAGTCCCAGACGCCTCGAGCACTACCGGAGGGTAAGCTGATGCCATTGCCAACCCCTCAACGACCCTGGTCGCACATTGCGATGGACTTTGTTACCGACCTACCAGAATCAGAGGGCCATACTGTTATTCTCGTGGTCATCGATCGATTCTCAAAGATGTGTCGGTTAGTACCCATGACCCGTTTACCTAACGCCACTCAGATGGCGGAGACTATGTTTAACCAGGTGTTCCGGCAGTTTGGTGTTCCAGAGGATATTGTTTCCGACCGAGGACCCCAGTTCGTATCCCGGGTTTGGAAGGCCTTCTGCGAACGCTTGGGTATCTCGGTGAGCCTCACCTCCGGATATCATCCCCAGGCCAATGGGCAGACCGAACGGCTCAACCAGGAAATTAGGAAGTATCTACGGCAACAATGTTCGCGGCAGCCGCAAGAGTGGAGCCGATTCCTTCCTTGGGTAGAGTATGTTCAGAACTCACTCATTCACACCTCCCTACATCTAACGCCCTTTCAGTGTGTTCTAGGGTATCAACCACCCCTGTTTCCGTGGGATACCGCACCCGGGATGGTACCGGCGGTGGACGAGTGGTTCCGTCGGAGTGCGCAGGTCTGGGAGACGGCCCATCAACATCTCAGTCAAGCCTCACAGCAGCAAAAGACCTATGCCGACCGACGCCGGAGACCTACTCCCACTTATCAACCCGGACAACGAGTGTGGCTGTCTACCCGAGACCTGCGGTTCCGACGGAGCTGCAAGAAGCTCCAACCCAGGTACATTGGTCCCTTCAAAGTACAGAGACGTATTAACCCTGTCACCTACCGTCTGTTACTCCCTCGACACTACAGGATAAACCCTACGTTCCACGTCTCCCTGCTGAAACCTGTTCATTATAGCCCGATGTATCCACCAATCGCTCAACAACCTACTACACCACCTTTGGAGGATGAACAGGACACCACCTATACAGTCCACGAGATACTGGAGTCAAGACGGAGACGAGGGGGCATCGAATATCTCGTGGACTGGGAGGGATATGGACCGGAGGAACGGTCCAGGGTTCCTGCTAAAGACATACTAGACCCCGCTCTCAAGGCCACTTTCCACGCTGAACACCCAGATCATCCCGGACCCTGACCCAGAGGAAGACCACCCGGTAGAGGTAGAAGGCCGTCAGGAGCCGGCCCTGGGGAGGGGGATACTGTAAGGGATCGGGGGTTGGCTGGGTCTAGACAGAGTCTGACACTTCCCCGATCTACAGAGAGGGGGAGTCATCAGACTCGATCTGGTTCACCTGAGTTCTGAGCACACCTGTCCGTAATTAGGGTAGGATATAAGGTGTGCTCAGAGATTCAGTCAGTGCGAGGTATTGTTCCGTTGTGACTTGCTAAGCGTTTTGTTCCGAGAGAGAGAGAGAGAGTTTGTTGTTTTGATTACCCGTGTATCCGACCTGTGCCTTGCTGTTTGACTCCCCGTATTGCTTAATCCTCTGCTTGTCTGCCCCAGTGATTACCGTTCTCTGATCCTGTGCCTGTGACCTCGACTACGACTAAGCCCGCTCCTTTGGTACCTCTGCCTGTCTATGCCTGGCCCGGTTTTGACCACAGCCCGCCCGACCACGATTAAGCTATTCCCTTGTCTGTACTCTAATAAAGCATCGCTATTCTGCGATTGGATCTTACCACTCTGTCCGAGTATTCATTACAGAATACCTCGCCATTACCATGGATCCAGCGGAATTACAGAGGTGATGGGAGATACAGGAGAAACGCATGGATAAACTCCTACAGCTACTCAACGCTGGTGCAGCGGAAGGCACCACCCCGAGTACGGTCAGTCCTCGTCATGCACCTCCGATTTCTATACCGACAAGGTACGACGGGGAACCTGGCAAATGTCAGGGGTTTCTACTCCAGATGTCCCTGTATATGTCGTATAATAGTACTATGTTTTCCGATGACCGTAGCAGGGTGGATTTCATGATTTCTCTGCTAACGGGAAGAGCACTGGATTGGGCTACTGCGCTTTGGGCAGCTGAGGTCCCCGAGTTGAATGCGGAAGTTCAGTTCAAGAGACTGTTTCAAGAGGTGTTCGACCACCCAGTATCTGGGCGTAGTGTGGGAGACCAACTATGCGAACTTCAGCAGGGCCGTCGCACAGTAGCCGACTACGCTTTAGAGTTCCGTACTATAGCAGCCGGTAGCGGATGGAGCGAAACTGCTTTGCTCACAGTTTTCCGAAGAGGGCTGCGCAAAGACGTACAAACTGAGTTGGCTTGTCGAGGAGATATCACTGCGCTACATGAGTTTATCAAAATAGCCATCTCTATTGATAATCTTATAGTGCAACACAAGGCATCCACAGTCCGGGAGCCCTCAATCACTGGTGCTATGCAATCGACAGAGCGGAGGAGAGAATCTGAGGAGGAACCTATGCAACTGGGACGGTCACCTCTACCAGGTTCGGTGAGACAACAACGTCGGCAAGACGGACTATGCCTGTATTGTGGTCAGGCGGGTCATTTCGTTCGTCAATGTCCGGTACGACCTAACCGTACCCCAGGATATCGCCTCGGAACTGCCAAACCGGTGAGTGAGACTCCAGTGTTGAACATTACATCTAAACAAATGTATGTGCCTGTCACCTTATCTGTCGGAGAGAAAGTGCGCAGGTTGGAGGGACTTATTGATTCCGGAGCGGCTGCCAGCTTTCTGGATATGGGTCTTGCTGAGGAGTTGGGAGTTCAACTTATCCCAATTCAACCTCCCCTGAGAGTCAACGCGCTAGACGGTGAGCCCATGGGCACTGGGTTCATTACGCACCGTACCGGGGAAATCAAGTTACAAGTGGGCTCCCTGCACCATGAGACCATCATTCTGTTCGTCATCTCCTCCCCACGGGAGCCGCTAGTCCTTGGCCACCCCTGGCTCGTTACCCATGATCCGGTCATCTCCTGGAAATCTGGCAATATCACGGCTTGGAGTGAGGTATGTAGGGCTGAGTGCCTCATTTTACCTTGCAAAACGTCTACTGTGGAGGATACGAAGGGTGCGGTGTCTACTGTTGTTCCTACAGAGTACCTGGATTACGTGCAGGTGTTCTCCAAGGAGAGGGCTTCCGTGCTACCACCGCATCGGGCCTGGGATTGTGCTATTGATCTGCTATCCGGGGCTACCCCTCCTCGCGGACGAATCTACCCTTTGTCTCAGCCGGAACGGGAATCAATGAGCAAGTATATTGATGAGGCACTTCAGCAAGGGGCCATTCGCCCATCTACGTCTCCCGCCGCATCCAGTTTTTTCTTTGTTAAGAAAAAGGATGGCGGACTTCGTCCTTGCATAGACTATCGAGGTTTGAACGATATCACCATAAAAAATCGTTATCCCCTTCCTTTGATTCCAGCGGCCCTCGAGCAGGTGGGGCAAGCCTCCATCTACAGTAAACTGGACCTCAGGAGTGCGTACAATCTGGTGCGCATTAGAGAGGGGGATGAATGGAAGACCGCCTTCATCACCCATCGAGGACATTATGAATATTGTGTTATGCCCTATGGACTTACTAACGCGCCCTCTGTGTTCCAGGCGTTCATGAATGACATTTTTAGGGACTTGATTGATCGTTTCGTCATAGTGTACATTGATGACATCCTAATCTACTCTAACTCTCTGAGTGAACATGTGTCCCATGTACGACAGGTTCTGGACCGACTCCGCCAACACTCTCTGTTCGTGAAGGCCGAGAAGAGTGAATTCCATGTCACAACGATTTCCTTCCTTGGGGCCATACTCACTCCCGACGGGGTAAGACTGGATGAATCCAAGGTACAAGCTGTACGAGACTGGCCTCAACCCCAGACGGTGAAAGAGCTTCAGAGATTCTTGGGGTTTGCCAATTACTATAGACGGTTCGTGCGTAATTTCAGCACCACCGCAGCTCCCCTGTCGGCGATGACCAGCCACAAGGGGCGTGGTCTGAAATGGACGGAGGGGGCAGTGCGGGCCTTTGAGACATTGAAACAACGATTTACCACCGTTCCCATTTTGTGTCAGCCGGATCCTACGTTGCCGTTCATCGTGGAGGTGGACGCCTCGGAGGTTGGAGTTGGAGCCGTGCTATCCCAGCGCCAAGGTGAGCCGCCCAAATCACGACCCTGTGCTTTTTTTTCTAAGAAGCTGAATCCGGCCGAGCAGAACTACGACGTGGGAAATCGTGAATTGCTGGCGGTGAAGTTAGCACTGGAGGAGTGGAGACATTGGCTGGAGGGAGCAGCTCATCCGTTCCAAGTGCTCACGGACCACCGCAATCTGGAGTATCTTCACAGTGCTAAACGACTGAACTCCCGACAGGCAAGGTGGTCTTTGTTCTTCAACCGTTTCCAATTCACTGTCTCTTATATTCCCGGGTCCAAGAATTGTAAGGCGGACGCGCTTTCCCGACGGTTCGAGCGCGCTGACAGACCGGTTGAACCAGAACCTATCCTCCCCATGAGTTGCCGTGCTGGCCCTGTGAGGTGGGCTATCGATGACACGATTCAGGAGAGCCTACAAGCGGAACCAGCCCCTCCAGAAACCCCGGTGTCGAAGGTGTTTGTACCAGCTCCGCTTCGACCTCAACTGATGGAATGGTGCCACACGTCGCTAGGATCTGGTCATCCCGGAATCACTCGAACTACTCGACTCATCAGTCGAAAATACTGGTGGGATTCCCTCACAGATGACGTCCGAGACTACGTATTATCCTGCCCAGTTTGTGCTCAGTCCCAGACGCCTCGAGCACTACCGGAGGGTAAGCTGATGCCATTGCCAACCCCTCAACGACCCTGGTCGCACATTGCGATGGACTTTGTTACCGACCTACCAGAATCAGAGGGCCATACTGTTATTCTCGTGGTCATCGATCGATTCTCAAAGATGTGTCGGTTAGTACCCATGACCCGTTTACCTAACGCCACTCAGATGGCGGAGACTATGTTTAACCAGGTGTTCCGGCAGTTTGGTGTTCCAGAGGATATTGTTTCCGACCGAGGACCCCAGTTCGTATCCCGGGTTTGGAAGGCCTTCTGCGAACGCTTGGGTATCTCGGTGAGCCTCACCTCCGGATATCATCCCCAGGCCAATGGGCAGACCGAACGCTCAACCAGGAAATTGGGAAGTATCTACGGCAACAATGTTCGCGGCAGCCGCAAGAGTGGAGCCGATTCCTTCCTTGGGTAGAGTATGCTCAGAACTCACTCATTCACACCTCCCTACATCTAACGCCCTTTCAGTGTGTTCTAGGGTATCAACCACCCCTGTTTCCGTGGGATACCGCACCCGGGATGGTACCGGCGGTGGACGAGTGGTTCCGTCGGAGTGCGCAGGTCTGGGAGACGGCCCATCAACATCTCAGTCAAGCCTCACAGCAGCAAAAGACCTATGCCGACCGACGCCGGAGACCTACTCCCACTTATCAACCCGGACAACGAGTGTGGCTGTCTACCCGAGACCTGCGGTTCCGACGGAGCTGCAAGAAGCTCCAACCCAGGTACATTGGTCCCTTCAAAGTACAGAGACGTATTAACCCTGTCACCTACCGTCTGTTACTCCCTCGACACTACAGGATAAACCCTACGTTCCACGTCTCCCTGCTGAAACCTGTTCATTATAGCCCGATGTATCCACCAATCGCTCAACAACCTACTACACCACCTTTGGAGGATGAACAGGACACCACCTATACAGTCCACGAGATACTGGAGTCAAGACGGAGACGAGGGGGCATCGAATATCTCGTGGACTGGGAGGGATATGGACCGGAGGAACGGTCCTGGGTTCCTGCTAAGGACATACTAGACCCCGCTCTCAAGGCCACTTTCCACGCTGAACACCCAGATCATCCCGGACCCCGACCCAGAGGAAGACCACCCGGTAGAGGTAGAAGGCCGTCAGGAGCCGGCCCTGGGGAGGGGGATACTGTAAGGGATCGGGGGTTGGCTGGGTCTAGACAGAGTCTGACACTTCCCCGATCTACAGAGAGGGGGAGTCATCAGACTCGATCTGGTTCACCTGAGTTCTGAGCACACCTGTCCGTAATTAGGGTAGGATATAAGGTGTGCTCAGAGATTCAGTCAGTGCGAGGTATTGTTCCGTTGTGACTTGCTAAGCGTTTTGTTCCGAGAGAGAGAGAGAGAGTTTGTTGTTTTGATTACCCGTGTATCCGACCTGTGCCTTGCTGTTTGACTCCCCGTATTGCTTAATCCTCTGCTTGTCTGCCCCAGTGATTACCGTTCTCTGATCCTGTGCCTGTGACCTCGACTACGACTAAGCCCGCTCCTTTGGTACCTTTGCCTGTCTATGCCTGGCCCGGTTTTGACCACAGCCCGCCCGACCACGATTAAGCTATTCCCTTGTCTGTACTCTAATAAAGCATCGCTATTCTGCGATTGGATCTTACCACTCTGTCCGAGTATTCATTACAATTACCGGGCACTTCACCCAGTGGCTGTAATAGAAATAAGGCCATGCTCATGAAAAGAAAACCGGCCTCCCTCATCTTAAACGGCACTGACCACCACTGCTTTCACCACCCTGTAATTTATTTAATCTGTAGCCTTGTATACTGCATGGTTTCCAGAGTTATAGCAGGAAGACCACACACCATATCATCGCGTTTCCGCCGCCATTTCTTGTGTAATTAATTTTACAGACATAAAAAGATCCTACCATGTTGAACAAACAAATGATCTGTCGGTATTTATCAAATTGAAACGAAACTTCCTGTTTCCATCACAGCTGTCGTGATTTTATTTTAATATGGTAGACATTACTCGCATAAAAACTGTGGATGGAAACGTGGTTTGTGTTACCAAATCTTTCATCTTTCATTCTTCAGTAGCTCTCCATTTTTAAGGTGCTGCACTACAGACCTATCCTATAGCAAATAACAAAGTGTTGGGACTGGGTCCATGCTACATAATGCTACAGACAAGAATAATAGAGCTGGTTTTGTTGATGTTCCCTCTGGCAGAAACCTCCTCAGGTGTCTCCAGTCCTGACTGAGCCAACCTGTCCCCAGTGTTTGTCCCACTGTATCATTAGCCAGCGACTCAGCTCTCAGTTCTAAAATGTCATATATCCACAGTAATGAACTGCAAGAGAGAATAGAGTAGAGTACACACTATTCCCAAACTTCCCTGTTGCACAACTCCCATTAATCCAAATGCTCCGACTTTGCTGCTCCAGTCCCTCTCCTCATTAGCCATGGCAGGTATCAGGATGCACATAATGGGGAGGTGCCCCAAGTCAGGCAGTTGTATATACTGGAGAGGGAGAAAGAAAGAGGGAGAGAGAGCCATGAGTGAAACTCCATCCTAAATGAGGAAACACCCAGGAGAAAGATGACTAGTGCGCAGATTACTACAGGGGTGCAAGTGACAAGCATCAAGCTGTCATTTGTTTGTCAAACCGTGGCAACCCCTTCCAGCGCACCGTGCCAATCGAAAGGAAACTAGAGTCCCTAAAAATATATATAAAAATGTAGAGCGGGGACAAACAAGGTGTTTGTGGATGCCAATAACCCTCAGAGGCTCTGTGAGGCGCCCGCTGTATCCACTTCTCCAATGTTTACCTCACAGAGAAGCATTGTTATACAAAACAAATCATTATTTATCCTGCATGTTGAACTTCCTTGCCAGTCCTTCAGTGGGGGAAAGTGAGGCTCTACTCTCAAACTATTATTACACTGATGTTCATTGTCTTGGAATAGAGTATGTCCTGTGATTAATATTACAGCACTGTAACAGAAGACCTCGCCTTCCTGGCTTTGTCACAATTAAGACAATCTCATCCTAGCTCCTCGTGAGTCTGAGCACTTGGTACACTTCACGGCAAGGGATGCCTGAGAGCCTGCCCTGTGGAAATGCTTTCACAAATAGATGCACAAACAAGTAATAACACTGCTATGGTAGCTCGTTCTCTACATGTTGCCCCTGCATTAGTTTTCCATGTTAATTGAACGGGGGGTGTCCACCTTAATTGTGTCTTGCCCTGGAGTGACGTTGGAGACACGTGGTGTGGAGGGGCAGGAGTGGGCAGGTGCGGTTGGGCGAGAGTGCTTTGATAATTGCCTGGGCAACATGACCAAGCCCCGGTGGTTGTGTGCTGCGACTCTGGAGAAGACGCTCAGAATGTGCCACTGTATCATAGATTGAGGTTGGGAACCTAGGAGCACGTCTGGGCCATTTTTCAAATGTGCTTTTCTGGTCCCAGATGGAAGAAGTGGTTTTCCCCTATCATAAGCAATTGGAATAGATACAGGCACTAATATACTTCTAAGGCATACATAAGTAGGTTGGAAAAGAGGGCGCACTGTGATGTTTTTCCTGGAGCACTGTATTTCTCCTTCCTGTTTTCACTGATAGAAGAATGAAAAGAGATCTGAGAGGAATGGGCTTACTGACCCATTCAATACTGCAACAGCCATGCAATTACTCTCTGTATGCTCTGACACCACTTTGAACGTGGTATAGAAGAAGGCAACGCCACAACACAGTATTTACAACAGCATGGTACTTCTGGGAGATTGCATGGGGTCATTACTGTAACAGACATACACTGTAGAGATTTTCACAAATAAATAATACACAATAGTAGTTACCCCTTTTGAAAATATAAATATGAATTATATATGAATATAGAAATAAATATGAATTATAAAAGTAAAACCAAATGGCACCAAAATAAGTAGTGCCTGGACCTGGAAGTTCTTACAACTTAACAGCCTTATTGTGGATATGATTTTTCCTTCCTGTTCTCTTTCAAGAAAAGGCACCAATCAATGTTAGTAATTGGAGAGCGAATGGAAAGGACATTCCTTTGAAATGCCACTCCTAAATGGTCCCCAGTGTCAAACGAGGTAAGGGACATATATTCAGAATGCCCCTCATCTCTGCTTCATTATCAAATGCATCTCATGCAGCCTATTTCAGAGCTATGCAAAAATCTGATGATTTAGAGAAAAGCCTTGCCTTTTCTAATCCAGCGGAAATGTCATGCTTGATTGAAACTTGGAGGAGTTGCAGAGTCGAGTAAAGTGAGAGGCGCATTCATTTGCATTTGGCCGACCAAATCACTATTTTTTATAGGCCCCCTTTTCACAATTACACTCTCAGGATGTTAATGTTACTTTCAGACAGAATTACCTCTTTATGTGCTCTGATGCTTGTACTCCATTAATTTAGTTTTATTGCCACTAAATTAGTTTCACTCAGGCCCTCTGGCAGAGAAACCTAATGCGCATAAATATAATTTATGCACCTAAACATTTGTACTCAAAATATTCAGCTCAAGTACACTGTAGGTAGGCCATGGGAATGTCAATTACCTTCACAACTCTTTGACTTCCAGTCTGTTCTGACCATGTAGGAAATGAATGGACTTATGGAGTTATTCTGGTAGAAGTCATTCACCACAGGGAAACCTTGTCTCTCACCTCATAGATAAAGTTTCTAAGGGAACATTTTCTCAGAGGATTGTGCCTCGTTGTAATAATGTCACCTTCAGCCCACCAAATTCAGAAGTCTGTGCTATTTCACTTTCATGCATGAACATTATGTTTTAGTGCTACTATTAAGGCTATATCAGTTCAGATTTTACTGTTTTAGCGGTGAGCGAGGGAAACTAGGTGTCACATTGGGAATTGCACTTGATTGCAGTTGTGTGGTGAACTACGAAGATCATTTGGAGAAAGATGCAGAGAATACACCATGGGGAGCTCTACAGTACCTAGCTGAGGAATAAACATCCACTAAACAATAAAACAACAATTATGAACCATTTCAGGAATAATGAGGTCTTTATGAAAATCTATGTTTATAAAGACTCAAGGTTGAATCTTGCCTTGTTGGCTGAATGACATTAGTTGGAGTTTGAATATAAATATGTGGAGTACACTAAATAAGATTTTTCTACTGCTTCAGAGGGAGAGATATTACAGCAAATAAAGTAATATCAGCAGGAGATAGCTCTACACAAGGATGAACTAATGAACCTGAGATGTTTTGGGTAAACTGGGTATGCAGGATTTTACTCCAACCCTGATCTAACACACCTTATTTGGCTAATCAAGGTCCTGACGAGCAGCTGATTCGTAAGGCAGATCTGTTAAAGCAGGAGAGCACAGTAGCTCTCCGGCAGGAGGGTTGACCACCACTGTTGTTTTCTATTTACTATTTTCCTCCTGCTTCGCTCCCTGTGTCTGAGCTGTTGAGCTGATGCTGAGGAATGTTTGAGTCTCAAGCTGAGCTAGGGTTGGGAGATTTAAACCAGAATGTAAACACTTGCCTCCCATCAGGCCCGCTGTCGAGACAACCCAAAGCTTTCTCACTCCGAGGCCTCTCAGGTGAAATACCTTTATTCCAGGACCCAGAGTAAGACATAAAACTCTATAGATTACAAGAGACTGGCAGCTAGTGAGAGAAACACCTGAGATAATGAGCTTTGATACGCAGCCTGTCTCTCTTCCTCCAGCAGCCATCCATCAATGGAAATGTTAGAGACAGAGAGGGCCAAAGCTGGGTTATTCTCTTCCTGTCACTGGAAACTAGATTCCACACACGTGCCTGACCTTTGGTGAAGCAATTTTCTGCCCATATAGTATAGCCTACTGCTGGTGTCCTGCCGACTACACCAGCTGCTGGGATGAGCGATGGGATTTAATTAGGGATGGCGACGTCTCATTACTGACCAAACATAACTTATACCTGCACCCACCTACATCCCACTGGGAACACCATGTCATTTCAACATGGATAATTAGGTAATATTTGGTTGAGACATTGATCAATGAGATTACTACCTATTTCCAACCTCTCAAAAAGATAACTAAAAGTTAGTGTAATTTCCCATGTGTTATCACTATGCTCTCAACCATATAAAAGCACAACCAAATTCCAATGGAAAAACAATGTCTGATTTTGGTTTAGTTGTCACCCAAATGTCTATCACTGTGTTTTCAACCATTTAAAAGCACAGCAAAGTTCAAATGGGAATACAATGTCACATATTTTGTTTATTTATACAACAGCTTAATATGTTATCACTGTGCTTCATCTAATAGCAGAACCAAATGACCTGGATTGCAGTTGAGATTATATTAAAAGTACATGGTGCAAATCATCAATGTTGTTTGAGATTCTGCACTAATTATTAAAGCAATTGTGAAGATCTCCACAGACCTATGACAACCTATGCATGCTATCTTGAATATGCATGCTTAATATGATTACCTAAGAAATGTATAGTTACAGTAACCTCAAAATGTGGCAATGGATGTGTTACTCATTTTAAGGTTGAATGTTACATTACTTTGTAAGAAAGCCTTAACTAGGCTATTTACAGTATTGTATTAAAAAAGTAATATTGAATTGTGTTTGGTTGAAAACGCAACCAAATATCAACATTTGAAGGAGATGTATCTTCTGCTTAGATAGTTCCATCTGTGCCACTGACTTAGTCTGGCTTTAATTCAAGTTTGTCTACAAATTAATAATTGATATGTTGGATTCAATTCTCCATCTCAACCAAAAATGTAAGTTAAATAATAGGACTAAATCAAATCAAATCTTTAAAAAAAAAAAAAAAAAAAAAAAATTGATTTGATTTAGTCTTATTCTTTAACCTTGATTTTTGTTTGAGATGGATATGTGAATTCATCATATAAATGATTAATTTGAAGACAAACTGGAATTAAAGCTAGACTAAGTCAGTGGCACAGATGGAATTATCCAAGCAACGTGCTTCAAATTAAGATTTTTAGTTGCGTTGACAACCAAACACAATTCAATAACACAAAATATAATTACATTTGAAATCAGGGGTTGAAACACTAGGCCTATTGTATTGTACTTTTTTATTTTTATTCTGAGTTGAATTTAGGTGACCCTGTAAGACTTCCCACCAAGACGGCAACTGAACACGTGTCTCGTACGCTTCTATTTGTTTGCTTGGGAGTGTTTTTTGTTATAATCATTCCAAATACTCCGGTAATGTTTTGATATAGTCAACAAGTTACTTGGGCTTGTCACGCCCTGGCTCTGGGGACTCTTATATGTTGAGCCAGGGTGTTAGTTTCTATGTTTAGTGTTCTATGTTCATGTTCTAGTTCATGTGTTTCTATGTTGGCCGGGGTGGTTCCCAATCAGAGGCAGCTGTGGCTTGTTGTCTCTGATTGGGGACCATACTTAGGCAGCCTGTTTGGCACTTGTCTTTTGTGGGATCTTGTTCCGGAGAGGTTTGTGTTTGTTAACCTTAGGACGTCACGTATCGTTTTGTTGTTTTGTGTTATTGTGTAGTACTCATTAAAAGATGTACGCATATCACGCTGCGCCTTGGTCCGTTGCTTACGACGATCGTGACAGGGCTGTATAAAAGATACTCCATCTTTTCGCTTATAGGAGAAAGCAAACAGATATCAATTGCTCCGTTGCCATTGCTGAAAGCTCCTCCACCACAGACCTCTGGTTGAAAGTTTCCTCTCCTACCCAGCCTCCCAACACAAGCCTCTCCCAAGCGGGTGTGATACCTAGGCTACACCTGTGGCATGGTACACTGCTTGGCTTCCATATTTGGGTCTGCTCTCGACTACCGAGGCCTGCTCCCCCCCTGTCTGGTACAGGTACCCCCGCCACTTGGCCCATTCTCCCCCGAGCTTCGCTCATCGCTCCAGCACACACTTACACTCACACACTGCGGTCTCTGATCCAAATATTATCTTTAGCCTGTGGACTTGTGTGGACTTTTACTTGAGAATTTGTACGCATTTAGATTTGGATTACTTGGCCTATTGTTATTATATTGTAGCTTATTTATTGTAGCTTAGGCCTACTTGTGATTAGTGTGCAACCTCATATGCTTAATATTTAGAAAACGTTTTATGGTTATTTGTCATAGGCTACAAACGAACATGTTGCTGTTGTTATTGTCTACCGTTGACGTTTACACTGAGGATGATGCATTTAGGTCCTGTTGTCCCTTAAATGCAAAGAACTTTGAGTGTTTTCCCCATGTTGCATCTTTGGAGAAACCATATGCTTGCCCCACTATTGCGCTGGAGATTGCGCCGCACATTTTTCTAATTTGACATGGAAGAAACTGCATGCTTGCGTTTACATGTCTGGATTGTTCCTTCAGTACTTAACCATGTCTCTGGACTGTACACACACGTTGTGTTAAAGACTCTGGTTCCTCTGGACTATGGTTCTAGCACTGTCTGTGAATCCAAATGTTGTAAAATCTGATATTTTGCTGCTTTTACTGTCAGGAAATGTGCAATATAACCCAGAATGTCAGAATGGTCTGAAGTTTGCGGATAAATGTAAGAAGTCTTCTTCCAAAACATGATTTTGTGAATGTTTGCATAAAAACCTCAGACCTAGATGTATTTATGCTTTCTGAAACCTTGCAACAACAAAAAAACTATCAGTGACAAAGACATTGGCATTGATGGTTACAATGTTTTTTGGTCCCATCGCAAATCTAAGGGAGCTATATACATAAAAGACAAGATTTCGGCAACCATTCTGACTTCTGTTACCAAACCCAAGCAATTTCAATATCCGTCTTTGAATATACTGTACATGTCTGCAAATTCTTGAATCTTGTTGTCCCCGGTTGTTATAGACCCCCATATGCTATTGCTGGCTCTCTGGATTGTATTTTTGAGTTATCACAGAATGTCAAATCTGAATTTGTGCTTATGGGTGACATGAACCTAGACTGGTTGACATCCAACTCAAGAATCTATGTAATACCTATAATCTTGCTCAGATTGTTAACAATGTAACACGGTTGAATGCAAAGTGTCCTCTAAAATCCTCTTTGATTGATCTTATTTTAACCAACACTCCACATCATTTTAATGCTTCTGGTGTTTTTGCAAATTATATGTGACCACTTTGCTGTTGCCTCTGTAAGGGATGGTAAAATTCCTAAACTACGTCCACGTTTCATCATGAAAAGAAACCTTTTTTTTTTTACATTGTGTTTTTAACATTGCCTGGAATAGAGTTGAATTCATCCCTGGTGTTGAATGTGCCTTTTCTTACTTCCATAAAGCATTCCAGGATGTATGTGTGCCCCTTTCAATCAACAAAGAATTAAGGGCAGAGACAACCCTATGTTCTCAGATGAACTAGCTGAAATCATAAGGAAACAGAATCCGTTGTGGGCTAAAGCAAGAAGGTCTGATACGGCTGATGATTGGATGGCTTTTAAACGCCTTCAGAATCAGGGTGTGAAAATGACCCAAGAGCTGAAAGCAGACCACCACCTCAAATCTAATGCTGATAATCTGAATAATCCTTCCACATTTTGGCAAGCAGTGAAAGGTTTAGAGTGCAAAAAAGATGCACAGCTCCCTGAACAGCTGCTGGTTGACTCACAGGTGGTAACTGAGAAAACCTCTATTCTGAACTCTTTTAATTAACATTTTCATGATGCAGACAAATTATTTGATAGGGTTAAATTGATGTAAAAAAATCCCCTGATGATCTAGAACCCCGCCTACTACAATTAGCTGCAGATGTTAATCTCCCTTTAACATACATCTTTAACCTTACCCTAGAATGTAATGAAATCCCCAGGTTGTGGAAAACAGCATTTGTCCTACCTCTTTTGAAAGGAAGTGATCCCACTCTACTGAAGAACTATCAGCCCATATCTAAATCATCTGTTCTGGCAAAGGTATTGGAGTCCCTAGTCAATAAGCAGTTTAAGGCCTACCTCCAGGAAAACAATATTTTGAGTGGTATGCAATCAGGGTTCAAGTCTAGCCACAGTACTGTCACAGCAACTTTGAGGGTTTTGATTGATATTCACTGTGCCCTGGAGAAGAAGCTGCATTGTGTATTTGTATTCATAGTCAAAGGCGTTTGACGTTGTAGACCATACTGTCTTGGTGCAGAGATTAAATCGTATTGGGATTACTGGTCATACTCTGGAGTGGTTTGTGAACTACCTGTCAAATGGAAACCAGTGTGTTAAGGCAGATGGTTGTAGGTTGGACACCGTAGAGTTGTGCTTGGGCGTGCCTCAAGGATCCATTTTAGGTCCCCTGTTGTTTATTATTTATATCAACAACATTGGGAGACATATTGAGACTCCTGATGTAAAAATAATTATGCAGATGACACTGTTCAAGTGGCAGCAGTTTTACTTTGGCTTTTGAAAAAGCTCAAACCGCTTTTAACATCATTCAACAAAATCTGTACGTTTTGAAGCTTGTTCTGAATTTCTCTAAAACAAAATGCATGGTATTTTCCAATACTAAACACTCTGAAAACCATGTAATTACTTCCTTGTAAGGACATTCTACAGAGCAATTCAAAACGTACAAATATCTGGGAGTTTGGGTTGTTGTGACTTTTGGTTAATTAATATTCAAGATCATTTAATGATTATTTACTGAAATGGTTAATTGAGCTGATTTGTTTGATTAATTTGGTTATCCTATCCAAAATAATATAAGAGGGCACCATTAAGGGTTGGATACAGAGAAACCCTTGACTTAACGCTATCAGTAGTTATCATTAACCGTTATACCATTAACTATATCAACAATAGTTTCAAGTTTAATGTCACATGCACAAGTACAGGAACATGCCTTTCTTGCAAACTCAAAACCCAACAATACAATAATCAATAACATTGTTTTACTGGAAAAATAAACATGAGAAACATGAGAAATAAGAATAAGAAACATGAAATACACAGTAAAGTATGTATACTATATACAATAAATATTTAAAAAGTCAGTTCCAATACCATATTTACATGTGCAGGGATACCGGAGTGATGGAGGTAGATATGAATAGGGCTAAGGTGAGTAGGATATAAGATATAAATGTATGTGCACATTATGTGTGAGTGAGTAAAAGATGGAGTCAGTGTTTGTGTGTGTGTTGAAGTGACAGTGTGTGTGAGTGTTTAGGGCCCTGTGAGTGTGCATAGAGACAGTGCAAACACTGAAATAAAAGGTCAATAAAGATACAAGGTAAACTCGGTCCATGTAGCTATTTTGTTAGCTATTTATCAGTCATATTGCTTGGGGATAGAAGCTATTCAAGAGCCTGTTGGTGTCAGACTTGATGCATCGGTACCTCTTGCCGTGCGGCAGCAGAGAAAATAGTCTATGGCTTGGGTGGTTGGGATCTTGACGATTTTCCGGGGCTTCTTTTCACACCGCCTGATATAGCGGTCCTGGATGGCAGGGAGCTCGGCCCCAGTAATGTACTTCAAGGAATAGTCTGTCTAATAAACAGTCAATTGACTATATTCTCATTGTTAATAGCCGTTAGTTCTGGAACTGCAAAAATCCAGTCGCTGGCAAATGATTTCAATGCCACAAATAATGAATTCAAGGTTCTATTTACTAGACTAAACAAGTACAAAATGAGGTAGTTAAAATATACGATATCAAGAGAGGGTACAATGGGATACAACACAGTTATTGAGGTGAGAAGCTCCACAGGTCAATATGAATAGGCTTCCGTACTCAACCCAGGAAAATACAACAACACATTCACAGGACTTTTGAGAATGATATGATCTTATTCATTGAAAGAGAAAATGTGAGAGGGCTACATCGACATAGGCTTTCACAACTGTGAAACTATAGAGCTCACCTTCCAGGAATAGATATGGACTAGGCTACCAGTTAGCATCCAATGTTGACAGTGCCAGGACAGTATTGATCATTGGTTTGTAGATTACACCTACCATCTTACAATACTCAATGACTTCCACCACTTTACACACACAGCGCCACTTTCAGAGGAAAGGAAGAATGCAATAGGCTAATTTACTTGCATGTCGGTTAGGATGGGATGGAGCCGGGGTTTGTTGTCCAAGTCTCTCTCGACAGTAGCGCTGAGGTCAGCAGGCCGAAGTAGCTCACAGCTGAAAGAGCTATACCCACTTCTCTCTCTCTCCGTTCTCAGTCCAGGAGAGTCAAGTCTATTAGAGCTTTTCCGTGCAGTGAATTCTTCCTCTGATCCCAGCCGGGATGGATTGTGAATGCAAACAGTGTGTTCTGCAGGATCACCTCTGGGATGATTGCTTCTGTCTGAGCAGGATATCTCTTGTCGATAGGTGTTTGGTTCCAAGGGAATGTTGATCATTTGTTCAATTGGCGTGGCCACATTGTGAAGAAACTTGATCTACCAGTCTGTTAGCAAGTCCTGTAATTATAGGGATACTCACAAAGGGCGGGCTGATAAGCCGGACTGGTAGTCACAGGACCACCCAGTTGATTCTGAGAATTCAGCACATTTATGATCATTGAGATAAATCTGAGGTTTCCTCATAAGTGTCCACAGTATGTTCCTAGTGTACAGAAAAGAGTTAAACAGTACCTAGGATGAAATACGTAGCTTGTAGGTTCTAAACATGCCTTGACTAAAATACATACATTTTATGTTGTTACAGCAAATGCACATTATACCCCTTTTTAATGACATAGAAAAATCTAAAGAAAAATATCACAGTATCTTTCAAGTTCTACCAACATTGGCGATACTTTTTACTCTTGTTACAAGGAATATCATAGCCTGAACCCCCCCTTTCTTAGAATACACATCTATGGTGCCCGAAAGTCTAGTTGGTAATCCCCAGTAACACATGTAGGTCGTAAAAATTGTCTGCTGATCTGCAGAAAGTGTCAGTTCTTTGTCTCTTTGACCTCCTTCAGGGGACACTTAAAGTCGTAAAAAGAGGAAAGGGAGAGGTGTTTATTGTTCTTGTGATAGGGGCGTCTTGTAAGCTACTCAGTGACCAGAAGGGCTGACCCCCCTTCGCCCCATTGATGTGTGCACAGGCAACATTTGCTCCTTTATCATTCATAGCTCGAGGAAGCCGCTGTCAATAACATAACACTTACTCTGGCCTGGAATATGGTACATAGGGAATATCTGTTCTCCACCATTCATAACTGATGGGCATTTGTCAACATCAAAACTGTCAATCTTTGCCTGGAGGGCACATGACCTTCACTCATGGGCTCTCTTTACAACAGTCCCCCCTTGTGCTTTCAGCTTGGAAGGGTTTCCTGAGCTGTGAACCACAATGTAGGAGTGGCCATGAGGTGTCCCTTAGTGGCTGTGTTTCCCGACCACGTCGTCCGGTGAGCCATCTTGGTCGACCTAGGCTGTAACTTGGTGACAAAGTTAAGGGCACATGAAATTCAAGCAATATGCCATTACAATTCCTTTCCTATGAGTGGACGCCGTGGCATTTAATTCATGGTTGTATGGAATACTTTATTCCTTTTTATTAGAAAAATTGGTAAATAAACAAATTCATTTTGGTTACCACACCTTAATCTATGCAGACATTTTTATACCGTTCATGCATTTGGCTAAATGACTCTAATAAGACACTTGGCTAATGTGTCCTACATAGGGCGATCCTACTTTAATGGTGTGTTGCTTAAGGCACACGTTTTAGATTACTTATAAGGTCATAAGGCCCTAGGAGCATCAGCTTAGGGAGGCCTACAGGGCTGACCTGGAGACCTCTGTGGAAGCAGCGGCAGTAATGTTTATAGGGGTCTCGGGATCACACGCCAGCGGATAATTATCACTATACATGTTAAAAATCAATAGTCAAGAGTTTTTGTAGAATGAAAATATACTTTTATTACACGAAGTAACGAAAGCCGAGATGATCTGCAGAACATCTGTTTTCCCTGATTCGGAGCTCTCCTTTTATACAGACACAAATGCATAGTCATGCTTATACAACCTACACAGTTACTCCACTATATACATTTACATTTACATTTTAGTCATTTAGCAGACGCTCTTATCCAGAGCGACATACAGCTAGTGAGTTGCATTTTATTGCATGACATAAGTATTTGATCACCTACCAACCAGTAAGAATTCCGGCTCTCACAGACCTGTTAGTTTTTCTTTAAGAAGCCCTCCTGTTCTCCACTCATTACCTGTATTAACTGCACCTGTTTGAACTCATTACCTGTATAAAAGACACCTGTCCACACACTCAATCAAACAGACTCCAACCTCTCCACAATGGCCAAGACCAGAGAGCTGTGTAAGGACATCAGGGATACAATTGTAGACCTGCACAAGGCTGGGATGGGCTACAGGACAATAGGCAAGCAGGTTGGTGAGAAGGCAACAACCGTTGGCGCAATTATTAGAAAATGGAAGAAGTTCAAGATGACGGTCAATCACCCTCGGTCTGGGGCTCCATGCAAGATCTCACCTCGTGGGGCATCAATGATCATGAGGAAGGTGAGGGATCAGCCCAGAACTACACGGCAGGACCTGGTCAATGACCTGAAGAGAGCTGGGACCACAGTCTCAAAGAAAACCATTAGTAACACATTACGCCGTCATGGATTAAAATCCTGCAGCGCACGCAAGGTCCCCCTGCTCAAGCCAGCGCATGTCCAGGCCCGTCTGAAGTTTGCCAATGACCATCTGGATGATCCAGAGGAGGAATGGGAGAAGGTCATGTGGTCTGATGAGACAAAAATAGAGCTTTTTGGTCTAAACTCCACTCGCCGTGTTTGGAGGAAGAAGAAGGATGAGTACAACCCCAAGAACACCATCCCAACCGTGAAGCATGGAGGTGGAAACATAATTCTTTGGGGATGCTTTTCTGCAAAGGGGACAGGACGACTGCACCATATTGAGGGGAGGATGGATGGGCCATGTATCGCGAGATCTTGGCCAACAACCTCCTTCCCTCAGTAAGAGCATTGAAGATGGGTCGTGGCTGGGTCTTCCAGCATGACAACGACCCGAAACACACAGCCAGGGCAACTAAGGAGTGGCTCCGTAAGAAGCATCTCAAGGTCCTGGAGTGGCCTAGCCAGTCTCCAGACCTGAACCCAATAGAAAGTCTTTGGAGGGAGCTGAAAGTCTGTATTGCCCAGTGACAGCCCCGAAACCTGAAGGATCTGGAGAAGGTCTGTATGGAGGATTGGGCCAAAATCCCTGCTGCAGTGTGTGCAAACCTGCTCAAGACCTACAGGAAACGTATGATCTCTGTAATTGCAAACAAAGGTTTCTGTACCAAATATTAGTTCTGCTTTTCTGATGTATCAAATACTTATGTCATGCAATAAAATGCAAATTAATTACTTAAAAATCATACAATGTGATTTTCTGGATTTTTGTTTTAGATTCAGTCTCTCACTGTTGAAGTGTACCTATGATAAAAATTACAGACCTCTACATGCTTTGTAAGTAGGAAAACCTGCAAAATCGGAAGTGTATCAAATACTTGTTCTCCCCACTGTATCTATGTTAAAGAACAATCACACTCTGTATTGACTATATTCACTATCCAGGCATGCATCTGGAGTACAAAGTATCAATCATGTTCATTCTGTTTTACCCTTATAATTTCATAACACATTATAAAACATATCAATTAATACTTAAACATGGTTTACACATGTCATGTCCATAACATACATTTAAGCCTTTCCAAACAGCCATCCTCCAAGGACCCTGAGCCACTATGGTTTTTACTTGTGACTATGTGCATGTGGCTATGTTTGTCAGGTCAAAAGCACAAACAAGTGATAACACTAGTTCCATTGTTACTCCAATCTCCACACAGCTACAACGAGAAGTTGTATCTCCATCACGTCATTGACATACCCAGACCAGCTGCAGGGCGTTAAGAAGGAACCATTCTTATCAGAAGCACAGCATTTGCACTAAAGACATGTTCCTGCTCTGTTTTAACCCTTTAATTGGTTCTTAATCCATAAACATTTAAGGCATATAGGCATTTCATTCTACAACATATGTACTAGAAAATCATCCATAACCAAACATTGGTATTGACTCAGACCCGGCACTAGTGATCCTAGTATAAGTCTTCATTACATCCTCCATTGCGCGGGTGCACCAATTTTTTTATTTTTTTATTTAACCTTTATTTAACCAGGTAAGCCAGTTGAGAACATGTTCTCATTTACAACTGCGACCTGGCCAAGATAAAGCAAAGCAGTGCGATAAAAACAACAACAACACAGAGTTACATATGGGATAAACAAAAACGTACAGTCAAAAACACAATGGAAAATCTATATACAGTGTGTGCAAATGTAGTAAGTTATGGAGGTAAGGCAATAAATAGGCCATAGTGCAAAATAATTACAATTTAGTATTAACACTGGAGTGATAGATGTGCAGAAGATGATGTGCAAATAGAGATACTGGGGTGCAAATGACCAAAATATATAACAATATGGGGATGAGGTAGTTGGGTGGGCTAATTACAGATGGGCTGTGTACAGGTGCAGTGATCGGTAAGCTGCTCTGACAACTGATGCTTAAAGTTAGTGAAGGAGATTTTTGCAGTTCGTTCCAGTCATTAGCAGCAGAGAACTGGAAGGAGTGGCGGCCAAAGGAGGTGTTGGCTTTGGGGATGACCAGTGAGACATACCTGCTGGAGCGCATACTACGTGTGGGTGTTGCTATGGTGACCAATGAGCTAAGATAAGGCGGGATTTGCCTAGCAGTTATTTATAGATGACCTGGCCAGCCAACGAGAGCGTACAGGTCACAATGGTGGGTAGTATATGTCCCCTGTAGCTCAGTTGGTAGAGCATGGTGTTTGCAACGCCAGGGTTGTGGGTTCGTTTCCCACGGGGGGCCAGTATGAAAATGTATGCACTCACTAACTGTAAGTCGCTCTGGAGCGTCTGCTAAATGACAAAAAAAATAAATAAATATATATATATATATATATATATATATATATATATAGGGCTTTGGTGACAAAACGGATGGCACTGTGATAGACTACATCCAATTTGCTGAGTAGCGTGTTGGAGGCTATTTTGTAAATGACATCGCCGAAGTCAAGGATTGGTAGGATAGTCAGTTTTACGAGGGCATGTTTGGCAGCACGAGCGAAGGAGGCTTTGTTGCGAAATAGGAAGCCGATTCTAGATTTAACTTTGAATTGTAGATGCTTAATGTGAGTCTGGAAGGAGAGTTTACAGTCTAACCAGACACCTAGGTATTTGTAGTTGTCCACATATTCTAAGTCAGACCTGCCGAGAGTAGTGATTCTAGTCGGGCAGGCGGGTGCAAGCAGCGTTCGATTGAAGAGCATGCATTTAGTTTTACTAGCATTTAAGAGCAGTTGGAAGCTACGGAAGGAGTGTTGTATGGCATTGAAGCTTGTTTGGAGGTTTGTTATCACAGTGTCCAATGAAGGGCCAGATGTATACAAAATGGTGTCGTCTACGTAGAGATGGATCTGAGAGTCACCAGCAGCAAGAGCGACATCATTATAATATAATTTATATAATATGCCATTTAGCAGACGCTTTTATCCAAAGCGACTTACAGTCATGCGTGCATACATTTTTTTTTGATATATCATTGATATACACAGAGAATAGAGTCGGCCCGAGATTTGAACCCTGTGGCACCCCCATAGAGACTGCCAGAGGTCCAGACAACAGGCCCTCCGATTTGACACATTGAACTCTATCTGAGAAGTAGTTGGTGAAACAGGCGAGGCAGTCATTTGAGAAACCAAGGCTATTTAGTCTGCCAATAAGAATGCGGTGATTGACACACTCGAAAGCCTTGGCAAGGTCGATGAAGACGGCTGCACAGTACTGTCTTTTATCGATCTCGCTTATAATATCGTTTAGGACCTTGAGCGTGGCTGATGTGCACCTATGACCAGCTCGGAAACCAGATTGCATAGCGGAGAAGGTGTGGTGGGATTCGAAATGGTCGGTGATCTGTTTGTTAACTCTGCTTTCAAATACTTTCGAAAGGCAGGGCAGGATGGATATACAGTGAGGGAAAAAAGTATTTGATCCCCTGCTGATTTTGTACGTTTGCCCACTGACAAAGACATAATCAGTCTATAATTTTAATGGTAGGTTTATTTGAACAATTAAAATTATAGACTGATCATTTCTTTGTCAGTGGGCAAACGTACAAAATCAGCAGGGGATCAAATACTTATTTCCCTCACTGTAGGTCTGTTAGAGTTTGAAACTAGAGTGTCACCCCCTTTAAAGAGGGGGATGACCGCAGCAGCTTTCCAATCTCTGGGGATCTCAAACGATACGAAAGAGAGGTTGAACAGGCTAGTAATAGGGGTTGCGACAATTTCGGCGGCTAATTTTAGAAAGAAAGGGTCCAGATTGTCTAGCCCAGATGATTTGTAGGGGTCCAGATTTTGCAGCTCTTTCAGAACATCAGCTGTCTGAATTTAGGGTGAAGGAGAAGCGGGGGTGGGGGCATGGGCAAGTTGCAGCGGAGGGTGCAGAGCTGGTGGAAGGGGTAGGGGTAGCCAGGTGGAAAGCATGGCCAGCCGTAGCAAAATGCTTGTTGAATTTCTCGATTATATTATATTTATCGGTGGTGACAGTGTTTCCTAGCCTCAGTGCAGTGGGCAGCTGGGAGGAGGTGCTCTTATTCTGTTTGAAAAAGCTAGCCTTTGCTTTCCTAACTGATTGTGTATATTTGTTCCTGACTTCCCTGAAAAGTTGCATATCGCAGGAGCTGTTCGATGCAACTGCAGTACGCCACAGGATGTTTTTGTGCTGGTCAAGGGCAGTCAAGTCTGGGGTGAACCAGGGGCTATATATTTTCTTAGTTCTGAATGTTTTGAATGGGGCATGCTTATTTAAGATGGAGAGGAAAGCACTTTTAAAGAACAACCAGGCATCCTCTACTGACGGAATGAGGTCAATATCCATCCAGGATACCCGGGCCAGGTCAATTAGAAAGGCCTGCTCGCTAAAGTGTTTTAAGGAGTGTTTGACAGTGATGAGGGGTGGTCGTTTGACCGCCGACCCATTACGGACGCAGGCAATGAGGCAGTGATCGCTGAGATCCTGGTTGAAGACAGTGGAGGTGTATTTAGAGGGTAAATTAGTCAGGATGATATCTATGTTTACGGATTTAGGGTTGTACCTAGTAGGTTCCTTGATAATTTGTGTGAGATTGAGGGTATCTAGTTTAGATTGTAAGACGGCCGGGGTGTTAAGCATATCCCAATTTAGGTCAACAAGCAGTACGAACTCTGAGGATAGTTTGGGGGCAATCAATTCATATATGGTGTCCAGGGCACAGCTGGGGGCTGAGGGGGGTCTGTAGCAAGCGGCAACAGTGAGAGACTTATTTCTGCAAAGGTGGATTTTTTGAAGTAGAAGCTCAAACTGTTTGGGCACAGACCTGGATACTATGATAGAGCTCTGCAGGCTATATCTACAGTAGATTGCAACTTGGCAGTTCTATCTAGACGGAAAATATTATAGTTGGGGATGGAAATGTCTGAATTTTTAGTGGCCTTCCTAAGCCAGGATTCTGACACTGCTAGAACATCAGGGTTGACGGATTGTGCTAACGCAGTGAATAACTCAATCTTAGGGAGGAGGCTTCTGATGTTAACATGCAAGAAACCAAGGCTTTTATGGTTACAGAAGTCAACAAATGATAGCGCCTGGGGAGTAGGAGTGATACTGGGGGCTACAGGGCCTGGGTTAACTTCTACATCACCAGAGGAACAGAGGAGGAATAGAATAAGGATACGGCTAAAGGTTTTAAGAACTGGTCTTCTAGTGTGCTGGGTACAGAGAATAAAAGGGGCAGAATTGATTCAGGGCATTATCTACAGACAAGGATATGGAAGGATATGAGTACAGTGGAGGTAAACCTAAGCGTTGGGTAACGATGAAAGGGATAGCATCACTGGAGGCACCGATTGAGCTGGTCTCCGTGTGTATGGGGGGTGGGACAAAGGAGCTATCTGAGGCAGGTTGAGTGGGACTGGGGGCTCTACAGTGAAATAGTACAATAAGAACTAACCGAAACAGCAATAGGCAAGGCATATTGACATGGGAGAGAGGCATAAAGCAATCACAGGTGTTATTCGAGAGACCTAAGACAACAGCTGGTAATGGTGACGAAGGTTTGGGCTGAGGCTAAACAGATAGACAGGATGGGGTACCATATAAAGGAACAGTCCAGCAGGCATCAGCTGTGTAGCTGAGTGATCATAAGGACCAGTGAACAGCAATAGGTGAGTCCGGGAGCAGTTCGGTGGCTGCTACGGCACAGGCGAGCAGGAGGCACGGGTGTTGATTGCGTGTGCTAGCGGGCCGGGGCTAGCAGATGGATCTTCGTTGTCGTCGCAACGGGAAGCCTGTTGAAACCACATCAGACGATTACATCGGCAGACCAGTCGTGATGGATCGGCGGTGCTCCGTGTCAACACTAGGAGGTCCTGTCTGGTTGACACAGAGGTAGATAGCCGGGAGATGGGCCTGGCTCGAGGCTAGCTCAAGGCTAACTGGTGCTTGCTTCAGGACAGTGGTGATTAGCCAACAACAACAACAGCCATTCGGTTGCAGTTAGCTAGTTGCGATGATCCGGTGTTAAGGTCCAGTGATTCAGTGATTTCCGCAGAAAATCTGATATGTTCTGGGTCGATAGCGCACTGTGCAGACTGGCCGATAATTGTCCAGGCTAGAGCTGGCTGGTAGGTAGTGCAGGCCACGGACAATGGTGAAGACCGCTAACGGTGGCTAAAAGCAAGTAGCTAGTTAGCTGGCCAGCTTGCTAGTTTCAGCCGGAGGTTCTAGATAAAAAGGTATAAAGAAATAATAGAATCCGTTCCACATTGGGTGAGGCGGGTTGCAGGAAAGTATATTTAGTTAAAGGATGGAAAGTGAGATTGAGAAGTATATACGAAAAAGACAAAAAAAAAAAAAAATGCTATTTACACGAGGACACTACAGAATACACGACTGTTGTCAGTTCGTCTAGTCTCGTCAAGCCTAACAGCGTGTTTTTTCCCGTACTCCTGTTCTTTCTAGTCCCTGTTTTCTAGTTCTTCCGTTTTTGACCATTCTGCCTGCCCTGACCCTGAGCCTGCCTGCCATTCTGTACCTTTCTGACACTGCCCTGGATTACAGACCTCTGCCTGCCCTTGACCTGTCATTTGCCTGCCCCGTTTTGTAAATAAACATATGTGATTCGAATTGTCTGCATCTTTGTCTTATCTTGAGTTCTGATAGTACGAACTGGCCATGACCTCGCCTCCGAGGAATCCCGGGGGTCCTTGGTGTCTACATTGCCTAGAGAATCAGAGGTTACCCGAGTTCCCCTGAGAGTCACCGAGGTCTGTCGATTCGCCTCCTCCGGAGCCTATGCAACTTGGCAGAGCTAGACTGTCTAATGCCGAATGGTTACACAGACTGAACACCAAGAGCTGTCTGTATTGTGGGACTACAGGCCATTACATTTCTACCTGTCCTGTAAATAGACCTGGTTCATCAGGAGGTATGAGTACGCTGGGGAGAATGTCCAGTGTCCCCTTACTCATACCCCTCTCCATGCACTCCTGCTGTGGGGTTACCGGTCCAAATCTCTCTGGGTACTCATTGACTCTGGGCCCGATGAGAGTTTTATGGATGCTACCCTGGTGTCTGAGCTGGGAATCCCCACTCAACCCCTCTCCATTCCCATGGACGTCAGAGCGCTGGATGGGCGTTTGATTGGCAGTCACCCACAACACGGTTCCTAGCAACCTAAGAGTGTCAGGTAACCACAGCGAGTCTATCCAGTTTTTCCTTATTAAATCCCCTCAGGTAATCCCCTCAGGTTTCTGCTGCTAAGGCCACCTTCTACCACTCTAAATTCCAAGCATCTGCCTCTAACCCTAGGAAGCTCTTTGCCACATTTTCCTCCCTCCTGAATCCTCCCTCCCCCCCCCCCCCCCCCCTCCTCTCTCTCTGTGGATGACTTCGTCAACCACTTTGAAAAGAAGGTTGATGACATCCGATCCTTGTTTGTTAAGTCTAATGACACTGCTGGTCCTGCTCACACTGCCCTACCCTATGCTTTGACTTCTTTCTCCCCTCTCTCTCCAGATAAGATCCTGCGACTTGTGACTGCAGGCCGCCCAACAACCTGCCCGCTTGACCCCATCCCCTCCTCCCTTCTCCAGACCATCTCCGGTGACCTTCTCCCCTACCTCACCTCGCTGATCAACTCATCCTTGACCGCTGGCCATGTCCCTTCCGTCTTCAAGAGAGCGAGAGTTACTCCCCTTCTCAAAAAACCAACACTCGACCCCACTGATGTCAACAACTACAGACCAGTATCCCTTCTTTCTTTTCTTTCCAAAACTATTGAGCGTGCCGTCTTTAGCCAACTCTCTTGCTATCTCTCTCAGAATGACCTTCTTGATCCAAACCAATCAGGTTTCAGGACTGGTCATTCAACTGAGACTGCTCTTCTCTGTGTCACAGAGACTCTCCGCACTGCTAAAGCTAACTCTCTCTCCTCTGCTCTTGTCCTTCTAGACCTGTCTGCTGCCTTTGATACTGTGAACCATCAGATCCTCCTCTCCACCCTCTCCGAAATGGGCATCTCCGGCGCGGCTCACTCCTGGATTGCGTCCTACCTGACCGGTCGCTCCTACCAAGTGGCGTGGCGGGAAGCTGTCTCCGCACCACGTGCTCTCACCACTGGTGTCCCCCAGGGATCGGTTTTGGGCCCTCTCCTTTTCTCCCTATACACCAAGTCACTTGGCTCTGTCATATCCTCACATGGCCTTTCCTATCATTGCTACGCTGACGATACACAACTAATCTTCTCCTTTCCCCCTTCTGATAACCAGGTGGCGAATCGCATCTCTGCATGTCTGGCAGACATATCAGTATGGATGACGGATCACCACCTCAAGCTGAACCCTGGCAAGACGGAGCTGCTCTTCCTCCCGGGGAAGGACTGCCCGTTCCATGATCTCGCCATCACGGTAGACAACTCCGCTGTGTCCTCCTCCCAGAGTGCGAAGAGCCTAGGCGTGACCCTGGACAACACCCTGTCGTTCTCCGCCAACATCAAGGCGGTGACCCGCTCCTGCAGGTTCATGCTCTACAACATTCGGAGAGTGCGACCCTGCCTTACACAGGAAGCGGCGCAGGTCCTGGTCCAGGCACTTGTCATCTCCCGTCTGGACTACTGCAACTCGCTGTTGGCTGGGCTCCCTGCCTGTGCCATTAAACCCCTACAACTCATCCAGAATGCCGCAGCCCGTCTGGTGTTCAACCTTCCCAAGTTCTCTCACGTCACCCCCCTCCTCCGCACACTCCACTGGCTTCCAATTGAAGCTCGCATCCGCTACAAGACCATGGTGCTTGCCTTTGGAGCAGTGAGGGGAACGGCACCCCTGTACCTTCAGGCTCTGATCAGTCCCTACACCCAAACGAGGACATTGCGTTCATCCACCTCTGGCCTGCTGGCTCCCCTTCCTCTGCGGAAGCACAGCTCCCGCTCAGCCCAGTCAAAACTGTTCGCTGCTCTGGCACCCCAATGGTGGAACAAGCTCCCTCACGACGCCAGGACAGCGGAGTCACTCACCACCTTCCGGAGACATTTGAAACCCCACCTCTTTAAGGAATACCTGGGATAGGCTAAAGTATTCCTTCTAACCCCCCCCCCCCCCCCCCCCCCCCAAATTGTAAAGTGGTTATCCCACTGGCTATAGGGTGAACGCACCAATTTGTGAGTCGCTCTGGCTAAGAGCGTCTGCTAAATGACGTTAATGTGCCCTTGAGCAAGGCACTTAACCCTAATTGCTCCTGTAAGTCGCTCTGGTTAAGAGCGTCTGCTAAATGACTAAAATGTAAATGTAAATGTAAAATGTAACCATTGTGTTGGGGTTTTCATGGCTCCAGAGACACAATGCCCTTGTTGACTGGACTGTGGGTTCGATCAAGGGTTGGAGCCTGTTCTGCCACGCTCATTGCCTGAAGTCGGCGCAGCCTGCCCCGGGACGTCTTCCTGCGTGCTTGGGAAAAGCCCCGGCCCTCACCGCCATTCCCGCGGAATACCAGGACCTCCGGGAGGTTTTCAGCAAGGCCCGTGCCACCTCGCTTTCTCCACATCGGCCCTATTACTGCACCATCAACCTTCTCCCAGGCACTACACTGCCTCGGGGGCGGCTTAATACCCTGTCGGGTCCAGAGACCAAGATGATGGTGACATTGAGGACTCCCTGGCTGCAGGGTGTATCCGTCCTTCTGCCTACCCCGCCGGTGCAGGGTTCTTCTTTGTGGAGAAGAAGGACAAACCCTGTGCCCGTGTATCGACTACCGGGGCCTGAATGACATCACGGTTAAAAAACGTTACCTGTTTCCAATCATTGCCTCGGCTTTCGAGCCTCTCCAGGGGGCTACCATCTTCTCCAAGTTGAACCTCCGGAATGCCTACCATCTGGTACGGATACGGGAAGGGGATGAGTGGAAGACCGCCTTTAACACTGCAAGCGGGCACTACGAATACCTGGTGATGCCATTCGGACTGACCAATGCTCCTGCTGTGTTCCAGGCCCTGGTTAACAACGTTCTCTGTGACATGTTGAACTGGTTCGTGTTCGTCTACCTTGATGACATCCTCGTTTTTTCCCGCTCGACTCAAGAACATGTCCGACAAGTCCTCCAGCGTCTTCTGGAGAACCAGCTGTTCGTCAAAGCGGAAAAATGTGAAATCCATCTGTGATTTGAACTGTCTGCATCTGGGTCTTATCCGGAGTTCTGATAATAGTGGTACCTAAAGACGATAGTGACCCTACCGCTGCCCCTTAAGTAGAGTAAGACCCCAATGAATCGCTTCTGACAACTGGGCTCTGATAATTCTGACTGGGTCACTGTGAATTTTTGGAGTTGGGCCAACATGTGAGCGGTGTCTAGCTGGGCGTGCTTAACTCCCTGGCCCGGTCCAATCAGAACTGGCCCAACTCAGTTGTGCGCTGGGCGGAATGTGTTTGCGTTACACCTTCTCAGCGTCCCGGCGGACGTACACTCGGAGTGTATACTCTCCAGTTGGTGATTAGTAGTCCTGGATCGTCACGCAGGACGATACCCACTGGGGGTCTGCTCGTTATAACATCTGGTTGGTTGGATTCGACAAGAACGCAGAGTGCCAGGATCAGACAGAGGAATCCCATCCTACAAGAACACATGGTTAGAGGGATTGTTTGGTTAGATCTTGGCATACACATTCAGTATTTGTTTGACTAATTGCAATGCAACTTTAAGGCAGAACGCCACAGGGCAAACATCAAACAAGAACAAGGCAAATAAACAACAACAATGTAGAAAGGAAAACAATTATTAAAGGAAAACGCACTGGTCTTTTGTATGGGACCAGTTTGGTGTTCCTTTGAGGTACCTAAATGCGTACTGTAGAGTTCTAGCTTATTAAGGGGGCTGGTCTGCCCCTTCAATTCCCATAGGGGGAGTGTACAACTTGACCAGGTTCCTGTGAACCCACTTGAAGGAATTTTTTTAGTGACGCCCATGGGTTTGGCAAAGTTGTAATACCACACTTCTCCCCTACTTGGAATTCTTGGTGGGAGGCCTTGTGGTCGTAGTGGGTTTTTATTTAATAAATTTTTCATACTGGCCCCCTGTGGGAAACGAACCCACAACCCTGGCGTTGCAAGCGCCATGCTCTACCAACCAACTGAGCTACACGGGGCCCCCACCTTTGGCACTCTTTTTCCAAGTTTTCTTGAGCGTACGCAAAGGAGGTCTGGAGGTGAGTCGGCAAGTCGGCCACGTATTGATGAGCAGTGTACACGGTGGATGCAGTGTGGTCTCCAAGTTGGTACAGGAGGTGCAGTGGGAGAATCATTGGTCTGCCTGTCATCATTTCGAATGGCATGACACCAGTGGACCTGTGACGTGTGGCTCTGATGGCCATTAGCACCAGTGGGAGTTTGAGGTCCCAATCTTTGTGATTGGCTGACATGTACTTCTTTAAGATGCTAACGATCATTCTGTTGCTTCTCTCCACCTGATCAGAACTCCTGGGATTGTACGCCATGTGAAGCTTAACTCCAACTCCAAGAAGTCGCCACAGTTCGGTCATTGCAGTGGCTGAAAAATGAGTTCTGCGTTCGCTGTCTACGGTTTCTCCTGGCAGGCCAAAGCGGCTGAAGACATGGTTCAGCAGAAGAATGGCAGTGGTTTCTGCTGAGTATTTGGTGGCCGGCAGGCATTCTACCCACTTTGTGAATGCACAGGTCACTGTAAGGAGGTACATGTTACCTTGAGTAGACCTGGCGACTGGACCGATCCAGTCAATCTGGATTGAACGCCAGGGTTAAGATACACCCTTGCGTTGTAAGGGTGTTCTGTGAAGCAGTTTGGAAGGTTGGAACTGGCAACAGATTAAGCATCCCCTTATGTACTGTGCCACATGCTGTTCCATCTGTGACCAGTGGGCCACTTGTCCCAAGGCTTCACACGTAGCCTTGACCCCCTATGCTTGATTGCCCAAACGGTTGAGAGCAAAGCCGTTTCGCAGTCTGATTATTTGCGCTTGACTGGGCTATGCGTCTCTCCTGGTCAATCTTTTGGGACAAACCAGCACTGAGGCAGTGTGCTGAGAATCCAGCATCCAGCATCCAGAAAGAACACCTTGTTCTTGTTGGTGTAGGCTAAGCATGGAGCTGAGCAAAGCTTAACTTTCAAACACAGCTTTGTTGTGTGCGGTTTCCCAGACAAATGGTGTGTCTTTCTGAAGCAGTAGGGTCTATGGTTTGGCCAGGTATGCATAATGTTTTATGAACTGGCGGGAGTAGTTGCATACACCCAAGAAGCTGCATAGTCCATGAAGGTTTGCAGGAGTTTTTATGTTTTGGATAGCATGTATCCTGTTGGATTGGGCTAAGATTCCATCAGGGCCCATCAGGAGTCCTACATAGTTGACTTTGGGTTTGCACCACTAGCCTTTTGTGATGGCCAACTTGGCGCTGGCTGCCCCTAGTTGAGTAAGAACATGGTCCAGTTCATTGAGGTGGTGAGACCAGTTCTCACTCCTCATGAGAACATCGTTAACGTATATGAGAGTGCCCCCAGTGGCTGCGTCTGGCATGGTTTTGTGTAGGAAGATGTTAAATTCCGCAGACAAATTTGATTAGCCCAGAACGAGAACACTAATTTGTGCTGATCTCGTGGATTGACCTTCATAGTCCAGAAGCCATTTGCCATGTCTACGTTAGACAATATTTTACATTTGTGAACCGAGGCAGCTCTTGGTCAAGTTGCGTCATAGGACAACAAGACAACAGATCCAGTTTGTTGAGTTGTATGGTAATCGATGTTAAGTCACCATTTGCCCTTGTTTCAAGACAGGCCACACGGGGTGCTCTAGGTACTGTTACATTCCCTGATTATCTGCTTTGCCAGCAGGGAATTTATGATTTATTGGACAGCGGCGTATGCAGCAAGAGGGATCTTATACTGACGCACAAATGTTGGGGGTGCACAAGGTGGTGTGGGAATGCGATCAGTAAGACAACAATCCAGGGAATCTTTCTACCAAATTTCCTGGTATTTGTCGAACAAGTCACACGTTTGCTTTATTTGAGTGTCATACACTAGAGCGTCTGCTGTGGCCAACAGTTCTTGCACCTGCGATTCGAAACCAGGAAATGGTTCAGGGAGATTGCTTGGTGTGTCGCCAGTCGATGTCACCGGATTAGCTGCGGGAGGGATGCCTGCCGTTGTGTCAAAGAGGTGTTCTACCTTTTCCGAAGGGGAAAGCGTGTCATCTTCAGCCATGATGGAATAGATCTAGTTGTCAGGAACAAAGTCCAATCTGAACGTGGATGCTTCGCTTCCTGGAAGGGCAGCAATTATTGCAATAGCCTTTGAAGGGCAAGTGAGTTACAGCTCTGATGCTGCAGGGCTCCATAGAGGAAGGAATTGGATCAATCACAGGAACAACTAGTTCAAAGTCATGAAAAGAGTAGTCTGTTAACGTCCCTAGTCAATGGTGCCAGGGTATGATCAAATCTGCTTCCATATAATTTTGCACCAAGAGGTAAGTGGATCTGGAGTTGACCTCCAGCAGCGGATTGCCTTTAATAATCAGCCTCAAGTTGAATGGTCGGGAAGAGGGCTGAAAGAAAGTGGCAGTATTGTCCAAGCGTTGGCCGGGTGCTAAATTCAGCTGGATTGATACTTCAGCAGTTCTCACCAGAATAACCACTGCCGACTCGTTCAAGACTTGACAGGCTTGGGGAATGGTTTGTCCAGAGCCCATCTGGATGGGGTCAAAAGAACAACCATTCTGAGATGGTGACGCCAAGGACCACAGAACGTTGTGGACTGTATCAAGTTTGGCGCCTAATCTGACCAGAACATCCGCAACATTTCAATAGGCTATGCAATTGCGCGAGAAAACAGAGTGATGGCCTCTACTAAAAAGACGAGGATCCCATCAGCTTTCTATAGGCTAGGCCTACTATATTTATTTCTCTACATTCCTAATATTAAGCACATTGCTTATATTTACAACAGGAGTATAGCCTACCTGGCTGGCATGAAAATAAACCACAGGGATAAGCGTCCTCCATTCGCTATTTAATTGCATAGATGACATGTATTTTTTCCCGCTGCCCCTGTTTCGATACAGTTGCATGATAATGGTCCATTCTAAATTAAAACAAATTTCACACTTATATTATTTAGTATATGTAAAGACAAGAATAAATCAAGAATAGTCTGATGTGTGACAATATTAGCCTATCACTTGTGAATAATGCCTAGCATAAGAAACAATGCCTTTTTTTGGTTACTTTTTCTAATCATAGTCGCACACCTCATGTAGCCTAGCCCATAGGCCTATATGTTTTCATAAGGTTTGTATTACAACTAAAGCGGCCAAATAACTTCTTAAAATTAAGCACATTAATCCACTTTACAAGGGATGTAGAGGCTAACTGGCATACATAAGCAGCGCGTGAGTTTCAAGTTTGGGGAAGATAATTTTCACCATAAAAATGCAACTTTATAATAAAAGCATTACATGCATAATCGCATTTGCAGTCACTTTTGATAATGGTGTTTTCCGCTAATGGTACATTAGCGCTTATAGCCTACTACCTACCATGTGCGCATTGCTGCGCTTATAATGTGAAGAAATAGCCTAATAGCTTATCAACATTTTAAGCTAAATGTTCTGATCTGTTGCGTCAGCCACATCGTGTAAAAAATGTTTTTTGATGCTAGTGGTTGTATTAATTTGGGATCTATCGCATCCCACAACTGTCCCAGACTATGTTTGGAATATTTATTTCTCGCACATAATATAATAGGTCGACCATTGTAATATGGGGGATAGTAGATTGACATAAACTAGTGCTTTTGCTGTTCGTTAGGCCTACTCATCTTGTTGGCTGACGAAAAGTAAATGTGGACAATATCTTCAATATGCACCTTGGAATTGGATAAGGACACTCGCAGTTGGGTCCCCGATGTGTCTGTCTTCACTTGTAGCCTGTGAGAAAGACCCGATCACGTGGCGGAGCGCGCAGCACTCAGGAAGAAGGGCACAATGGCCATTGGCCGCAAAAGGCATGTAATTTTTTAGGGTGCATTACTGCCGCACAAAGGGGATGCCGCCGTGAAATTCTAGGCATTATCAAGTGCTTGTCAAATTGTGAATGAGTGACTGATGTAGTGTGTACAGCCAGTGCAAAAAACAAAGCAGAGCTCATGCCTTTCAAGCTACTTTTTTCAAATCATCATTAGAGTAGCATCATGCAGCCTTACAATATATTAAACATCTAAACATATAGCCCAACGTTTGTAGAACAACTAAAGTTACATGAATAACTCTAAATTAAGCATTTAAGAATACCTATTTCTTTGTTAACCGCTCAACACAGAATAGCCGCATGTGCGCACTCCCTCAAATCGTTTGGAGAAAATATCCTTTCTATTTTATTCAGCTTTGTTCAATTGTATTCTTCATTCTATAAAATAATGCCACGGAATTCTAAGCAAATCTTGTCTGCTAAATGAACTAGTGTAGCCCACAGCCATTTGGCATAGCCAGATCAGGATCTAACATAAGGACAATTCAGAATATGCTATTCTGTTCTTCTGAAATAGACTACATTTTCTTCATATCATGCTTCTTTAGACCTGTCTAAAATAAATTATGGATTTATTGTGAAGGTGTAGGCTATATTACATGGATTTATTATACTTTTTAAAATATAGATGTTCCAAAGGTCAGCATCAGTGGCTTGTAGGCTATTTGTGGAAGCCAGGAGATGCTAAATGTGTTTATGTTAATTAACGGTCAATTACCGTGAGACCGACAGTTATTTTCTTGACAATCACCGGCTGACAAAATTTCGTGACCGCCACAGCCCTAGTTGCACCAAGTGTTTTGGGAAGGTGACCACACTTGGTTCTTGCCCAAGTCCATCAACGGGACCAAGCGATCCATTAAGTCTGACCCAATTAGCAGTGGCTCTGTGTTGAGGCTGGTAACGTACACAGGGTGAATAAGGGACACGTTCAGGAAGTATAGTTTTAGGAGAAGCCGCATTGTGAGAGGTGAGGTTGATTGAGTGAAACCTCAATGTTTAGTGTCACATCGTTCCATAATTAAATCTATCCATATCTATAGCCAGAGGGAGGATGCTGGATCTGAGTTGTGCACAAACTGACCTTTGGCTTGTTGTTATGTTCAGGCGGACATATGGTCCAGGGGTGTAGTTTTCTTTGATGAGACTGTACATTCTAAGTTTAGGTTTAGCCAACATTTAGCCAGGTTGACAACTCTTTTAATGTCATCCAGCAATGTCAGAGACATGGTCGAGCAAGAATATATCTGGGCATCACAGGACAGACCGTCCTCAAGGACTGGCACGGGGTAAGGTCCTTTTCTTGTCATATCCCCAACAAAGTGGAGAGGGGGTGTTTCATAGGGTTGTGGCGCGTCATTAGTATTTGTTTTGATGATTTAGACAGACAGGCTTATTTCGGGATCTGGAGGACACGTGATTGGATTTTCAGTGGAGGCGGGAGCCGTAATGTCATTAACTTTACTATTATGGGCTCCCGAGTGGCGAAGCGATCTAAGGCACTGCATCTCAGTGCTTGAGGCGTCACTACAGACCCCCTGGTTCGATTCCAGGCTGTATCACAACCGGCCGTGATTGGTAGTCCCATAGGGCGGCGCACAATTGGCCCAGCGTCGTCTGGGTTTGGCCGGTGTAGGCCGTCATTGTAAATAAGAATTTGTTCTTAACTGACTTGCCTAGTTAAATAAAGGTAAAACATTTTTTTAAAGAGGTTAACCTGAGCTGGGTTATGTACTGCCTGTTCTACGCCTAGTCATTGTGATTGTTTTTTTCAGTTTTTTTTTCTAGCTGTTCGCGTAGTATTGCGTCCCCATTCAATATTCGGTTACATTTTTAGTCTGACCCTTTGTATGAGTGGGTCGCAGCATGTTTGTTATTAGGTTGACTGTCGTATGACGAGGTGCCCGGACGACGAGGTGCCCGGACGTTTTTCACGGAATAATACTGCACCTAGTTAGCTAGCTGAATAAACTAGGTTAGTCTACTCCTAGAAAACATTGAACCGCTGTAGTTTACAACAATTATAGTTTCTGAGGTGGAAGTTGGGAGAGTTATATTTGGGAGTTGTGGTGAGGGAGGCCCCGCTCTCTCCTTTCCCAGATGTTTAGTTCATTTTATTCCGATCTCCTCTGCATTATTGTAGCCATCTGCTGCAGCCTGTCAACTATGCCTCTGCCTATCCCTGTTCTCTCCTCTCCGCATAGGCTACACAAACGCCTCACACCGCGTGGCTGCTGCCTCTCTAACCTGGTGGTCCCTGCACGCACGACCCACGTGGAGTTCCAGGTCTCAGGCAGCCTCTGGAACTGCCGTTCTGCTGCCAACAAGGCAGACTTCATCCCAGCCTATGCTACCCTCCAGTCCCTCGACTTCTTGGCGCTGACGGAAACATGGATTACCACTGAAAACACTGCTACTCCTGCTGCTCTCTCCTCGTCTGACCATGTGTTCTCGCATACCCCGAGAGCATCTGGTCAGCGGGGTGGTGGCACAGGAATCCTCATCTCTCCCAACTGGACATTCTAAATTTTTTCCCTGACCCATCTGTCTATCTCCTCATTTGAATTCCATGCTGTCACAGTCACTAGCCCATTTAAGCTTAATATCCTTGTCATCTATCGCCCTCCAGGTTCCCTGGAGAGTTCATCAATGAGCTTGACGCCTTGATAAGTTCCTTTCCTGAGGATGGCTCACCCCTCACAGTTCTGGGGGATTTCAACCTCCCTACGTCTACATTTGACTCATTTCTCTCTGCCTCCTTCTTTCCACTCCTCTCCTCTTTTGACCTCACCCTCTCACCGTCCCCCCCTACTCACAAGGCAGGCAATACGCTTGACCTCATCTTTACTAGATGCTGTTCTTCTACTAATCTCACTGCAACTCCCCTCCAAGTCTCCGACCACTACTTTGTATCCTTTTCTCTCTCCCTCTCCTCCAACACTACTCACTCTGCCCCTACACAGATGGTAATGCGCCGTCGCAACCTTCGCTCTCTCTCTCCCGCTACTCTCTCCTCTTCCATCCTATCATCTCTTCCCTCTGCTCAAACCTTCTCCCTCCAATCTCCTGATTCTGCCTCCTCAACCCTCCTCTCCTCCCTTTCTGCATCCTTTGACTCTCTATGTCCCCTATCCTCCCGGCCGGCTCGGTCCTCCCCTCCAGCTCCGTGGCTTGATGACTCATTGCGAGCTCACAGAACAGAGCTCCGGGCAGCTGAGCGGAAATGGAAGAAAACTAGACTCCCTGCAGACCTGGAATCTTTTCACTCCCTCCTCTCTACATTTTCTTCATCTGTTTCTGCTGCTAAGGCCACTTTCTACCACTCTAAATTCCAAGCATCCGCCTCTAACCCTAGGAAGCTCTTTGCCACATTCTCCTCCCTGCTGAATCCCCCCCCCCCCCCCTCCCTCTCTGTGGATGACTTCGTCAACCATTTTGAAAAGAAGGTTGACGACATCCGATCCTCGTTTGTTAAGTCAAATGACACTGCTGGTCCTGCTCACACTGCCCTACCCTATGCTTTGACTTCTTTCTCCCCTCTCTCTCCAGATAAAATCTTGCGACTTGTGACGGCAGGCCGCCCAACAACCTGCCCGCTTGACCCTATCCCCTCCTCTCTTCTCCAGACCATCTCCGGTGACCTTCTCCCTTACCTCACCTCGCTGATCAACTCATCCTTGACCGCTGGCTATGTCCCTTCCATCTTCAAGAGAGTGAGAGTCGCACCCCTTCTCAAAAAACCAACACAGTCGCACCCCTTCTCAAAAAACCAACACTCGATCCCTCTGATGTCAACAACTACAGACCAGTATCCCTTCTTTCTTTTCTCTCCAAAACTATTGAGCGTGCCGTCTTTAGCCAACTCTCTTGCTATCTCTCTCAGAATGACCTTCTTGATCCAAACCAGTCAGGTTTCAAGACTGGTCATTCAACTGAGACTGCTCTTCTTTGTGTCACAGAGGCTCTCCGCACTGCTAAAGCTAACTCTCTCTCCTCTTCTCTTGTCCTTCTAGACCTGTCTGCTGCCTTTGATACTGTGAACCATCAGATCCTCCTCTCCACCCTCTCCGAGCTGGGCATCTCCGGCGCGGCTCACTCTTGGATTGCGTCCTACCTGACTGGTCGCTCCTACCAAGTGGCGTGGCGAGAAGCTGTCTCCGCACCACGTGCTCTCACCACTGGTGTCCCCCAGGGCTCAGTTCTAGGCCTTCTCCTATTCTCGCTATACACCAAGTCACTTGGCTCTGTCATATCCTCACATGGCCTCTCCTATCATTGCTACGCAGACGACACACAACTAATCTTCTCCTTTCCCCCTTCTGATAACCAGGTGGCGAATCACATCTCTGCATGTCTGGCAGACATATCAGTATGGATGACGGATCACCACCTCAAGCTGAACCTCGGCAAGACGGAGCTGCTCTTCCTCCCGGGAAAGGACTGCCCGTTCCATGATCTCGCCATCACGGTTGACAACTCCGTTGTGTCCTCCTCCCAGAGTGCGAAGAGCCTTGGCGTGACCCTGGACAACACCCTGTCGTTCTCCGCTAACATCAAGGCGGTGACCCGATCCTGTAAGTTCATGTTCTACAACATTCGGAGAGTACGACCCTGCCTTACACAGGAAGCGGCACAGGTCCTAATCCAGGCACTTGTCATCTCCTGTCTGGATTACTGCAACTCGCTGTTGGCTGGGCTCCCTGCCTGTGCCATTAAACCCCTACAACTCATCCAGAATGCCGCAGCCCGTCTGGTGTTCAACCTTCCCAAGTTCTCTCACGTCACCCCGCTCCTCCGCACACTCCATTGGCTTCCAGTTGAAGCTCGCATCTGCTACAAGACCATGGTGCTTGCCTACGGAGCTGTGAGGGGAACGGCACCTCCGTACCTTCAGGCTCTGATCAGTCCCTACACCCAAACGAGGGCGCTGCGTTCATCCACCTCTGGCCTGCTGGCTCCCCTACCTCTGCGGAAGCATAGTTCCCGCTCAGCCCAGTCAAAACTGTTCGCTGCTCTGGCACCCCAATGGTGGAACAAGCTCCCTCACGACGCCAGGACAGCGGAGTCACTCACCACCTTCCGGAGACATTTGAAACCCCACCTCTTTAAGGAATACCTGGGATAGGATAAAGTAATCCTTCCCCCCCCCCCCCCCCCCCCCCTTTACTCCAAAACACCCCCCCCCAAAAATTAAATTAAATAAATAAATAAAAAATGAAAAAAATTGTAAAGTGGTTATCCCACTGGCTATAAGGTGAATGCACCTATTTGTAAGTCGCTCTGGATAAGAGCGTCTGCTAAATGACGTAAATGTAAATGTAAATGTACGACCTGTTAGGCATGTACCAGTCGTTATTCTTATGCCGGCCATGATAGGAATTATTGTGTTGTGGTTGGTAGTCAGGTTGCCCATTTTTTGGGGCGGCCGCGTTCTCTGTCTGGATGGAATGCTCATGTTGAATAGTGAACACAGAGGGGTCAGGGGTCTTAGCGTGGCTCACCTTTGAGACATTGTAAGCTGTACTGGCAAGTTCGTGGAGGTCAGAAATGAGCACACCATCATGAGCCATTGTTCCTAAGAAGGTAACGTTTCTGGGATATGTTTGCTAAAAACATCTGTCTAATCGCTAAGAGTTCTTCTATGCCTGGTTCAGTGAGGTTACACAAGTAGGCTGTACAGATATGGTGGAGGTAGGCTTGAGGATGTTCTGCACATGACTAGGTTGGTGACGGACAAAGTTCGTAAAGTGCCTATTGGACGTGCGTTTCAGCAGGTAAAGCCAATCTGCATCGATGGCCTCTGGATGGTTGTCTAGGGTCTCCCTTAGATCAGCCAAGTATGCCTCCGTGTCATTGGACTTTCAGGGAACGGGGTCAAAAGTGCGGGTGTCTTTGACGATTTTATCCAAGAGTTTTCCCCGGTAATGTTGCGGCGAAGAATAGCGTTGCCAGGAGCGGGTTCTGGGGCCGAGAAGCCAAGAGGAAATGTGCCGCTTGAGCCTGAATGGCCAAGGGAAAGAGCGTTGCTCTGGGCCAAGTGGCTGGGAGGAAGAGAGAGTGGGTCACCTGTTCGAGGGGAAGACCTGAATCTTCCGTCGTCCTCCAACATGTACGTATAACGCTCAGGCTGTAGGTCTGGCCGTCCCATTGGGATCCATCTGAAGGTGAGAAACTTCTCTGAAGCACCTCCAACTGGCGTTTGAGGGTGGTGCCCTGTTCAATTGGATAGTTAAGGACTTTTCTCATAAGTTTTACATATGTTATTTTCGGACTCATACTTTTCCTGCACATTGCACAAGGAGGTGTCTCAGTCGTGGAGTGATGCATTCAAGGAAGAAATGTCCCCTAGTCGTTTAAAAATGTCCTCCTCCTGGCTTCTTACCTGGTTTTTCTCGTCCTGCAGTTGGAATGAGGTCTCCAAGAGTTTGGTGGTTTTAGGGTCTTTTGCCCGTATTTTCCTGTTTAAATCAGCGGTCTCCTTAAAAGCATTGCTAAAAGATGCCTCGACAGTATGGAGTTTTGCAGTCATTTGGCAGCTTGGTTGTCTGATTTGTCAAGTTGGGTTTTAATTTCAACCATATTTCTGCGATGCTTTATCAAGCTGTTCTTGAATATGAATATTTAGCTTGAGAGTTTGGGTTTGCTCATTATCATTCAGTTGTGCTATTTCCCTCAATTGGTCAGCCTTCAGTTGCAGTTCCTCTGTGGCCATTCTCTTTCAGACCGCTGCAACCTCTTCCTGGTTCTCTCCAGCCGTCCCAGCATGTCAGTTGCTTCCTTTTCATGTTTTTCCTGCGCCA